ATAAACTGCAAATAATCATTTTACGTTCATATGCTTTATTGAATATGTTTTATTTCTTATATATATGTTCTGTTAATTTATAAACATATGCTTATATTTTTCTCTTGCAATAACTAAAACAAAAAAGAAGAAAAACAAAATTTCCAATTGTTAGATGTACTGGATCTAGAAATTTGCATATGACTTTTTTGTGTGAAAAGTAAAAAATTGCATTACTTTAAATATATTTTGACATACAGGCATGAAAAATATTTTTTTTTTACTGTATTTTTTTTGCCTTTCGGAATATCTCAAACAATATATATATATATATATATATATATATATATATATATATATATATATATATATATATATATATGTTTTTTCTCGTTTTCCATGAATATATGTGTTTTGTTTTCGATTCTGTTTATACTATGTATATTTTTCATGAATCCAAACAAAATCAAGCGAACAAAAACAAAAAAATCGAAACATATATGTTTCTTTTCTTTAGCAATCTGCGTTCGGCAACGATCTTGAGATGATCGGCGATGATGGCTGTGACGAGAGGCGATGGAGGATGGCGGCAACAAGCCTGGGTTTTTGGCTTCCAATCTCTGTTGTCTCTCTTCTTTTCTCTGCAAAACCGATCACCGGTGGAGAGACGCCGGCGACCAGCGGGCGGCGACGGCAGGACTGCCCAAATGCTGCTACTGTTTTTCCATCCTCCTCGATCCGACGGTTGACGGTGATCTGTGCGTCGGATGGCAATGCTGGTCGGCGATGGTGACGGCTACAGGCGGCCGACCGCTGGCCGAGGTATGACGATCGGTGGTGGTGTGGTCTGCGGCAATGGCGGAGTAGATGGTGCGTTTTTTTTCATCTCTTCGGTTTTCTCGCTTGAGTAAATGCGAATAATAACGCCAACAACGTTTTTTTCGTTTAATATTCAGAGTCTTCAGAGTCTTCTTCGCTTTAATTAAAAATAACGCCAGAAGCGTTATGGTTTCTTTTAGCAATTTAATATTCATTGATCCACCTTTTATTTGGACCACCTTTATTTATATGGATCATTATTACATGGGGTATTTTTTTTTCTCTCATTCAAGCCCTCATTTGTTTGGACTATTTTTAGGGTATGCTATATTATATGTTCCTTGGGCTTTTTTTGAAATAAACTAGGCCACACATTCAATTTCTTTGGTCCTCATTCAAATATTTTCTGTAGAAATGGCTGCTCTCGCAAAAAGAAAATTTGCTGAACTCGCCGTCGATGGAAGCAATTTCCTCACTTAGGCGCTTGATGTTGAGATATATCTCCAATCTACAGAACTGCTGGACACCATTGAAGAGACATCTACGAGCACTGCAGCCCAGAAGGCAAAAGCGGTCATTTTCCTCCGCCACCATCTTAACCACGACCTCAAGAATGAATACTTAACAGAAAAAGACCCCTATGTCCTCTGGAAATCTCTTAAGGAACTCTTTGACCAACAGACATCATTGGTCCAACCCCAGGCCCAACATGATTGGCTTAACCTCCTATTTCAAGACTTTAAGTTTGTGACTGAATACAACTCCGCCCTACACAAAATTGTGTCACAACTGAAGCTCTGTAAGCAAATAATTACGGACGAGGATCTAATTGAAAAAACTCTATCCACGTTCCATCCAAATGACCTTGTGCTCCAGAAGCAGTACAGGAATACAAAGTATGATACGCATCCAAAGCTCATTACGACTTTACTGGTGGCTGAAAAGCATAGCCAGTTATTGATGCATAATCACAACGCGCGTCCAACTGGCGCTGCACCTGTGCCTGAAGCACACACCGTTGCCCAGCAGAGCAACAATCGGCGGGGTCGAGGCCGGGGAAGGGGGAAAGGTCGTGGTAGGGGCCCAAAGCGAGGTGGCAGAGGGGGAGCTAGCAGTAGTGACTCCCGTCCTCAGAACAAGCAAACTCAAAGAAATAGACCAAGCAAGTCACAACAGAACTCTGGTCAGTCGCAGCCATGTTATAAATGTGGTTGCAAAGGACATTGGTCTAGGACATGCAGGACTCCTAAGCATCTGGTCGAGGCTTACCAAAAGATGCTCTAGCAGGAAGAAGGACAAAATAAGAAAGGTTATGGGCAATCATCTTTGCCTGAAGTAAATGCCCTCATCTTAGGAAATGATGACCTGCTAGGCGATGAACTAGCTGATTATGGAGATCAGGAGTGAAACTCTTATTCTTTTCTCTCTTTCCCTTATGGACATCCTTTTTACTTCATGCCTGCGTGCATGTTTATATTTGAACTCTTTTGTCCTAATATGAATAATGGATCTTTTTTTGAACACTTTTGTTCTATTTGAATAAATTCAATGGATCCTTCTTACACATTATCATGATACGCATTCTTTTTCTTTAGAGATATGGGAGACTAATCAACCCTGTGCTTGGTTGATTGTGCGACTACGCACACTATTCTGACAAACCGAAGATTTTTCCAAAAGTTCAAAGAACACAAAGGCAACCTTTCAACCATAGCGAATGATGATATTCCTATTGTGGGCTCCAGCAGAGCTTCACTTATTCTTCCTAACGGAACAAAGTTGATAATTGATTTAGCCCTCCTATATCCTCAATCAAAAAGAACTTTGCTCAGTTTCAGGGATATTCGGTCCAATGGTTTTCACATAGAAACTAAAACTAAAAACAATACCGAATTCCTTGTTTTGACCAAAACGGTCAATAACCAAAAAAGAGAAATTGAAGAACTTTCTTCCTTTTCTTCAGGCCTGTATTATTCCTATATCAGGCCCAAGCACTCATGCGTTGCACTCGCAGTGAAATTTAAAGATACACATTCTTTCAGTCTATAGCATGACCGCTTAGGTCACCCTGGGCAAACTATGATAGGCCGTATTCTTTCAAATTCAATTGGACATAACCTTCTTAGGACAAACATTCTTTCTACAAAAGATTACACATGTGCTCCATGTGCACGGGGAAAACTTATTGTTCGTCCCTCGCGTCCTAAGATTGATTTTGAGTCACCTGTCTTCCTGTAGAGGCTACAGGGTGATATTTGTGGACTAATTAATCCTTCATCCGGATCATTTCGATATTTTATGGTCCTTATTGATGCTGCCACCCGATGGACACATGTGTGCTTGTTGTCCACTCGAAATATGGCATTCGCAAAATTCATGAGCCAAATCATTAGGTTGAATGCCCAATTTCCCCATTATCCTATTAAGAACATAAGAATGGATAATGCTGGTGAATTCACTTCGTCAGCTTTTGACGATTATTGTATGGCCATGGGAATTAAGGTGGAGCATCCTGTACCATACGTCCACACCCAGAATGGTTTAGCTGAATCTCTTATCAAAAGAATTAAACTAATAGCTAGACCATTACTGCAACGGTCCAGTCTACCAGTAAATTGTTGGGGACACGCAGTGTTGCATGCTGCAAATCTAATTCAACTCCGGCCAACTGCATATCACGATTATTCCCCTCTGCAACTTGTACGTGGTAATGAGCCAGACATTTCTCATTTGCGTGTCTTTGGCTATGCAGTTTACGTACCTATACCACCTTCGCATCGTTCTTCTATGGGCCCGCATCATCGGTTAGGTATTTATGTTGGGTATGAATCCCCTTCTATCATTAAGTACCTCGAGCCTATGACAGCAGATCAGTTTACTGCCCGGTTTACTGACTGCATTTTTTGTGAAGATCATTTTTCGGCATTAGGGGGAGAGAAAAACCCATCTTTGAAAAAATGCCACGAAAGTTCATGGGATGAAAAAGATCTTTAGTATCTTGACCCACGTACTAATCAAACTGAACTTGAAGTTCAGAAAATAATAAAATTTCAAAAACTAGCAAATAATCTTCCACATGCGTTTACTGATTATAAAAGAGTAACTATGTCCTATATTCCTGCAAAAAATGCTCCATCAAGAATAATTGTCCCCGAAGGACCAAATACTAACACCGACACTATCCGACGCCAGAAGCATGGAAGACCAGTTGGTGCAAAAGATGTAAATCTGCGATAATTAAAAACAATAAACAATCACAGTTACTCCAAAATCATCCTGAAGACGAAATACCCAGTGCAAATGCACGTGCTACAAATAAATCTAACACTGGGAATACGAAACACTTTCACCAAGATATGATAGCAAATGAGAAAGACTTGGTTGAAGTAAATATAGAATCTGCCATAAACTTTTTCGGAACAGGAGAAAATCTTAATAGAAATATAACAGTCGTCGACGACCAATTCGCCTCTACAATTGCTCTTCACATTTCTTTCAATAATCTGGATCCAGAACCAAAAACTATAGTGGAGTGCCGGAAGCGCTCCGATTGGTTGAAATGGAAAGAAGCAATTGAGGCTGAGCTGAACTCGCTAAATAAATGAAAAGTGTTTAGCCCTCCTGTACTTACCCCTAAAGGCGTGATCCCAGTAGGATCCAAATGGGTATTTGTACGAAAGAGGAATGAACAAAATGAGGTGGTCAGATACAAAGTGAGACTGGTAGCTCAAGGGTTCTCACAGAGACCCGGAATAAATTTTGAACAAATTTACTCTCATGTCTTAGATGGCACATCGTTCCGTTATCTAATACCGATGGCAGTAAAAATGAATTTAGAAATGCAGTTAATGGATGTTGTGACTGTGTATTTATATGAGTCACTAGACGCTGACATATATATGAAAGTACCTGAGGGCATCCAAAATCCTTTATGTAAAGGAAATACAAATAAAAATATGTTCAGCGTAAAACTACAAAAGTCATTGTATGGCTTAAAACAATCAGGAAGAATGTGGTATTGTCGATTGAGTGAATTCCTCTTAAAACAAGGATATGAAAATAAAGATATTAGTCCTTGTATCTTTACAAAGAAATCAACTGATGGTTTCTGTATTATATCCATCTATGTAGATTATATAAACATCATAGGGACAAGCAAGGATGTCTAGAGGGCATGCTTGTGCTTAAAGGAGAAATTCGAAATGAAAGACTTGGGAAAAACCAAGTTCTGTCTCGGCCTGCAGATCGAGCACTTCCCTGAAGGGATATTCATACACCAATCCAAATACACAGACAAGTTATTGGAGAAATTCTACATGGATAAGTCCCATCCACTTAGTACTCCAATAGTAGTCCGATCACTTGAAGTTGATAAGGACCCGTACAGACCTAAAGAATATAATGAGGATATTCTGGGACCAGAAGTTCCTTACTTAAGTGCCATTGGAGCACTTCTATATCTTGCCAACTGCACTAGACCTGATATTGCATTTTCAGTAAACATGCTAGCTTGTTTTAGTGTTGCTCCAACCATAAGGCATTGAAATGACATAAAATATATCCTCAGATATTTACAAGGTACAAAAGACCTTGAGCTTCTATTTAAAAGAGACCAAGACACCACATTAGTGAGATATGCGGATGCTGGTTTTATGTCTGATCCGCATAATGCTAGATCCCAGACTGGATATGTGTTTCTTTCAGGAGGTACTTCTATCTCATGGAAATCAGTTAAACAAACATTAGTAACTACCTCGTCAAACCACTCTGAGATTATTGCTTTATACGAGACCTCCAAAGAATGTGTATGGTTGAGGTCATTAATATACAATATTCAAGACTCGTGTGGAATAATGAATAATGGAAAGATCCCCACTTTCCTGTATGAGGACAATGCAGCATGTGTTGCACAAATGAGTAATGGATATGTTAAAGGGGTGTTTGGGAATGTAAGATTACCTTGTGTGTTTGGTTTGGATGGTATAATATAATATTACCTTGTTTGGTTCAGGGTTATATTTTAGGTTATATGGATCAATTTACAATAATGCCCTCAATAATATATATATATATATATGCTAGTTTTTTACGCGCATTGCGCGATTGGGATAATGCCCAATGTTTTTTTTTTTTAAATAAGTACTTTAAAGTATATTAAGGCAAGATTATATTGAAATTGTTCATGTATAGATAATTGAAGGTTGAATTTGCGTATTTAAATAGGTAATTCTTCTCCCAAAGGTTGAGTCCCCAACCCCAAGGGCCCCCCACACTCTGACCCGACAGAGCATTGTGGGAAGTTGTAAATCACGGTGACTCAATGGTTCAGCAGACAGGACCAAATGCCGGTGTGAAAAAGGAATCTGCCCACTTTGGACATAATTCCCGCACTGCCGCCACCGAGGTTCAAACCTTGGTCTCTTCTCCCAAATACTGCCCACTAAACCATTGAGCTAAGCCCGTGCGGGTTAAATAGGTAATTCTAAGTTTACAAATGCAAGATAATATAGTCAAGATTGATTATAATTGTCAATAAAATAATTGTATAGGTATGGTTGAAACCAAATACGGGACATAAGGGAGAACAAATAAAAATTAGGGCATAAAATATTAAATATATACTAATATTGTTTGAGGAGATTTCGACATTAGGATTTGTGGTTAAGTTTTATTAAGACTTTAATATTATAATTAGATTAATGGTGTAATTATAATTATATATTAGACATTAATATTAGAATTAGACTAACGGTGAATTAACGGTATTTAACGGAAAAGTTAAATGGATAATCATATAATTAAGGATAAATTAGAAAAACTTTAAAAAAAATTAAAACCTGAACAATTTGAATCATTCATTTGATTTAATAATTTGGCAGTCATTTTTTCTACCCAATGTTAATAATTAAATAAATTCGTTGGTCAAACCCGCTAACTGCTGATTGTCAAACAAGGACATTGCAAGGTAGTTCTCACTTCAATTTGTTGTGTGATTTGAATATTTTCTTTGTCACAAAATCTCTCAAGTAGTTAATACGGTTGGCTTTATTAATTATATATATTTTTAATTTTTTCATGGTATTAATAAAATACTTGGTAAATAAATATATAGCATTATTTTGTATTATAACTTTGATATTTAATTAGAAAAATAGTGCACAAAAAAGATATTAGACAATGTAGTGAATATAATCAATTGATGAATTTGAATGTAAAAATTTTTACATTTGAGAAAAATAAAGACAATATAACTAATGAAAATATTTCTCTTAATTAATTTATTGATAATGAATAATTTTTTTTTTACTGCATTAAGACATTGTAAGGACAATGTAGCGAATATAATCAATTAATAAATTTGAATATAAAGAATTTTTATATTGTAGAAAAATAAAGACAATATAACTAATACAATTATTTCTCTTATTTAATTTATTGATAATGAATAATTTTTTTGAATAAAGGCATTGTGGACACATAATTCTAAATTAAAGAAATGCATATCTATAATTTTTTGTTGTAGCTACTAAATTATTATTTATATAATTTAATAAGAGTAAAATAGACTACTAATTATGCCAACTTTGATTGAGATGAGGTTCGAACCTAAGACCTTTTTTTTATTGAAATTAATGAGTAAGTTAACGGTGAACTAACGGAAATTCTTAAAATTTTAACGGAATTAGTAACGGTGTGTGGGTATTTTAGGAAATTTTAGTGTAAAATTTAAATCTTATCAATCTTTTAATCAATCTGAGCCATTCATTTGATTAAAATCTGTGACCGCCATTTTTTCTACCCATTATAAGCCTAACTCTCTTGGGCTCTTATTAGTATAGTAGACATATATATATATATATATATATATATATATATATATATATATATATATATATATATATTATGTGTGTATTTATTTATATCTATGAATGTATATCAAAACTTAAATATTAAAAAAAAAAACCAAATATATAAATATACACATATGTATATTTGATTATATAAACATATATTAATTTTATTTTTATTATTATTATTATTATTATTATTATTATTATTATTATTATTATTATTATTATTATATAAGGATTAGTTAACAAGCGCAAAGTTGAAATAATTCAAGGTAATCTAAGATTACCTAAAAAAAAAAAAAAAAATGGGGGTAATCACATACCTTGAAACATTACCGCCACATCAGCTTTGAGGTAATATAACATTATCTGGTAATCTCATAACTTGAATCAAACAAGGTAATATAACATTACCAGACTCAGATGACCTAGGTAATCTAAGATGACCTGAACCAAACGCCCCCTAAAGGTAATCTCACCAAACATATTGCACCAAAATTCTTTTATCCACATGAACTCCAGAAGAGTGGTGAAATACGAGTCCAAAAGATCCAATCAAGTGAAAATCTAGCAGATTTATTCACTAAGTCCTTACCTACATCTACTTTTGAAAAATATGTATATAAAATTGGTATGCGTAGATTAGGAAGGCTGTTGTCTTCAGAGGGAGCAACAACATCTTCAATGTAATGAAATTGTTAGTCCAGAAGATTAACTCATTCACTTTGATCCAGAAGATCAAGATATATTATTATGATTTATACCTAAACCCAAAAGGTTTACGGTTGTACTCTTTTTCCCTTACTGAGTTTTTTTCCCACAGGGTTTTCTCAATGTAAGGTTTTTTTTTTAATGAGGCAACCGAAGCAACACATGCATTACCCATATGTCGTGTACTCTTTTCTCACATAGATTTTTCCCACGGGGTTTTTCTAGTGAGTTTTTAACGAGGCATGAATATGGTTGAATAATGTCCAAGGGGGAGTGTTACAAAACATTTGAATAATGGACATTATTGCTGTTTAAATACTATTGATTAGCCATTGGTGTATTGCTTTGTAACAACTACTCATTTGTATTATATAAAATTGATTCTCAATAATAAGATGGCTAATTCTTTGAGTCTCTATCTTCTTTCTACTTCGCACTCTCTATTTTATATTATATTGTTCCTGCAAATCCACCGGCTAGGAGCTAACGGGACAACGGACATCAAGATTTTAACACCCTTCCATTAGATATAAAAATTGTGTATTTTAAATCTGAATCCACCTTACGGCAAATTATTGTATGGACCATGATCCACACAGTGTTATGTGGACCATAACAAAAAGTATATTTTTAATATACTGAATGTACATTATTTTTGTATTGAATGTACATTATACAATATAATGTACACTCAGTACAAAAATAATGTACATTTCATGAATACAATGTACATTATTTTATAGTATACAAAATATGGTCCACACAACTTGTGTAGACCATGGTCCACATAATAATGATTGCCACCTTACAAGGTGGGCCTTGGTCAATGGTATAACAACTGGGCATAACACAACCCAAGTATAGCCCATGAGAAAATATTATTTTTAATCCCTCGATTATAATACATGTATCAATTTTAGTCCTTAATTGAGTATTAAAATTTTTAAATTAGGTGCATGACTATTCAATTTGTATCACCTTGTGTCCTTAACTATTAACATTTTCAAATTAGGTGCATGACTATTCAACATGTATTACATTTGGTCTTGCCGTTAAATTTTCCGGGCAAGTCACTGGTGACCAGCTAATTTATTTAATTTTTATTTTTTTAATTATGTTAATAATTTTTAAATTAAATTTTTTTTTAAAATAAAATTAAAAAAAAAAAAAAAAAAAAAACGACGGTCACCCCAACCCTCCTCTCTCGTCTCCGCCAGAGACAAAAGAAGAAAGGGTAGAAAGAGAACGCCAGCCACCTCACCCCCTTCTTTCTTCGTTTCCGGCAGAGAGTCAGAGACGAAGGAGGAGGAAGTGGGGTGGTTGTCGTTTTTTATTTTATTTTTTTCTTTTATTTTTAAGGTTTTTAATTTAAAAATTATTAAAATAAAAATTAAATAAATTTGTCGGTCACCGGTGACTTGATCGAAAATTAACAGCAGGATCAAATGTGATATAAATTGAATAATCATACACCAAATTTAAAAATGTTAATAGTTAAGAACTAAATATAATACAAATTGAAATTCATGTATCAAATTTAAAATTTTAATAGTCAAGGATTAAAATTGATACATCTATGGACTAAAAATGATATTTTACCTATAGCCTATTAATCCACTAAAATTTAAAACAAAATCAGGCCATTGTTTACATACATCTGTATAGCCCAATTACAAATAAAACCCAGTAGCAATCCTAAGTATACAAATCGAAGAAGAAGAGGACAGCGAATCAAATACAAATCGCCGCTTCATCTTCTCCGAACCGCACATTTCAACCGGTGATTGGCACGATCTGTAATTTTTAGAGGCTGAAGTTCAAGCTATTACAATACACAAGGGACCCCTGCACAATAGGTAGATTGTCAAAACTGAATTGATTCTCAGTTCAATATTACGCATATATATTGCTATAAATAAACTATTCGAAAACATAATAGTTTTATCAAAACTGTTACGAGTGTAAATTTAAAATCTGCTAACCTGAGATTTAATAACATAAAATTCCTTGATTTGAGCGTGTGATCCTTAAATGATGCTTTCTGTAATTACATATCTGCGTTTGTTAATGTATTTGTATTTCTTCGTTTTGTAGTAAAGCTTTTAGTACCAGTGTGCAAAATGAGAACAAAAATGATCTAATGTGATTTGTTAGTTGAATCACTTGTAATTCAAAATTTATGGTAAAGCATTAGTATTAATATATAAACAGAAGTTAAAATGGTCAAATGTAATTTGTATCTTTAGGAAGAGTTCACCTTTGTACACCATGGCTTCTTCGAGGATGTAAATTAAATTATCAATCTTCCAATCTTTAGTTGGTTTATATGCTTTTTGACCTTACACAGATTACATGATCTTAATCTATTAGCTTTAAGAGCAAGTTTATTTCCAATTCTCTTCATTAGGAAACAACATATGTTAAACTTTAATCCAATGACTTATTTTTATAGTTGTTTTCAAAAACAGCTGATTTCCTCAATCTCCTTTTCTGGATGAAAAATGAAATTGCAGACACAACAAAGACCTCATTTAGGACATCACTAGACATCACAAACCCTGTTCTGGGTTAAGGAAGATCAAGTGGGACCACTGGGTTATTAAATCAAGTGGTACTTGATGGTGAAGATCATAAAAAGTAAAAAATCTATATATAAAAACATGCTTCTTGAGTAATTCTACCATGGGTATATTCAACTTTGCTTAACTCAAGGATTTCTTGAGTAGGGAGGATACATGCACCTTTAGTCAAGTTGGAAGAATGTAAATTTTTTTTGGTGTGCGTTGGAAGAATGTAATAATTCCAAAACCAGCATCCTCAACCCCACTATGGTGATTGGTGAGTACCCGAGGAGAAAACCTGTTCAACTCATATACCCACTCTATGGTTTGTATGAAGAGGGAAAAACAAAAATTAAGATAGAATAAAAACTCTAAGAAAATGAAAGAAACAAACCTGACTGTTTTTGGCTAATACGAGGCATTGCAGGAAGATGCAGAGAATTTAAGCTACGTTCAATATGTTTGTAACATGACATATGGATTGTGCTTTTAGCTGAATGAGGCTTTACAGAAATTTATGGTCTGTGGTTGAAATGAGGCCTTGTGGTCTTATTTATAATGGTATAGGTAGTAGGTTTGGAGAACTGATGTAAATGCCTGCTGTTATTAAAATTTAATTAATTAATTAATGTACCCTGTTGGGGGTTGCAGAAGTCATGTATGCTTTGGGGATTGCATTTTTTGTTTCCCAGACATTTATATTAATTGCACTAACTACTTCTGCTGGTCAATAATGCTAGGGCCCGGGTGTGGGGGCGTCTGGGGTGGGCGATTTGACCTTTTGTCACAAGAACAAAAAAGTTTTGTAGGAATTGGTTTATTATGCATGCCTGTAATTATCATTGACAGAAATCAAAGACTCAGCCAGCATCCAATGAAAGTTTGTAGTAAATGCCAAAACTTTTTATTAAAGGTTCAACTGAATAATAAATCTGTGGTTGGATTTGTTTTACTTGTGACAAATTTCACCTTTGTGACCAGTTTAGCTACCCATGCGGGCAAATGAACTGCTAATTTTGGCTGTTATATATACATATATATATATATATAATATAGATGCTTGAGGGGCCAGGCCCCGCCCTTTCCCCTTTGGTTCTGCCCCTGTAAATGGTATGCTCCATGAATCACCATACATATGCCTTATGGTAATTATTCTTACACTTGGTAATGCTGAAAAGAATTGGTAGCTTCAGAAAATCGACAATGGAGAGCGCATGCGAATTTGTGGAGTTCCCACAGCTGCCAACTCCAATCGAAACGAATTACAGGGCATGCACAATACCTTATCGATTCCCTTCTGATAATCCCAGAAAAGCTACACCCACTGAGATTGCCTGGATTGACCTCTTCCTCAACTCTATCCCTTCTTTCAAGTAACCTCTGATTTTATTTTTTATAATCACAGTCCACTAGTATTGCTTTCTAATTTATTGACTACTCTTCACCCCTTGTAATATTTTTTTAAATATTCATCGGTAAATGCAGAAAGCGTGCTGAGAGTGATGATTCAGTTACTGATGCTCCTTCGCGTGCAGATAAATTTGCTCAAAGGTAACCTTTTTGCCTTTAGCAGTTAACACACAATCTTTCTGTTAAATTTTTGAAATGAGGAATCAAAATTAGGGAAATTTGTATTGGAAGAATGATACAATACAGATCCTGGGCTGCCAATCTGCCTAAAATCAATTTAGTTATCTTATTTTCTAGTTTATTAGTAGTTGCCTTTTTACTTTAAGTAACCATATTTTAGAATATTGTTTCCTTATGTCTTAAGTTTTTAACTCCTACATATAGGGAGAATATTAGATTGTCTTAGTAAGTTGGAAATTGAATAAAATCCAAGGTTTAAAAAGGCGGAGGCGTGCCTTGAGGCGTTTTCTATTTTGAGGCGAGGCGTAAGCCTCAATTTTTAGCCTCAGAATATATTAGTAAGCTGTAAGCCTGTAAATATTATTCATAAAATTTACCAAAATATAAAATTAATATTCATTAGCTAAAAGTTTCATTGGTCTCAAAGAAACACCCTACAAAACATCAAACATAGTATAAGTCTAAAGCAAACAAATGCATAACAATCTAAGATTAAAGTACTAAACAAACAATCAAACATTCAAACAAACAGTCAAACACATCATAAATCACAATATAAATTCATCTAGAGCATCATTGTCTATATCCTCATCATTCCCATTGTCACTATCATCATCAAAATCCCTCCCAATCTTCTTCATCTTCATTGATTAGTCTCATTTTTCCTTTTCCCTTATTTGATCCTTGTGCACTAGCTTTCTTGGAGTTCTTGCTTGAGGATTCAATTGGTTGAGCTTGAGTTGCTTGTGATGGCCCCTCCCCTTCAAAAACATCAACATCAATGTCATCTAAACTTATGTTGGGAGCATATTCATCTTCACCCACAAGCCATTCATCATCCGATGGCAACTCATCAATCAACAAATTATCCTCATCATTTCCCAATGACTTCAACTTCAAATGCCTATCCTTCAATTTTTTGTTGTACAAGATGTAAACCAAAGCATTCATCCTTGCCGTGGTCAAACGGTTTCTTCTTTTGGTGTGCACTTGATTAAATGCACTCCAATTGCGCTCACATCCAGAAGAAGAACAAGTGAGACCCAACACTTTAACGGAAAACTTTTGAAGCTCGGGAGTGCCATCTCCATATTGAGTCCACCATTCAACTAAAAGAATAATAACAATATAACTTTTAAGTATTTAAATTTACTATAAATCTATAATTAACACTCATATTTAACTATTTAAGTAAGAATTTAAACTTTAATTACCGGGACTTCGCTTTTAGAGTGTGTTTTTAGCTTGAGTTAACCCAAAGAATCCTTGTTGAGCGTGGAAAGCACTACATTGTACGTCAGCTTTCTCCATTTCATCTACGTTGGGTATGAGCTTCGCTAAACAATCTAATAAGCCATGCTTGATCTCAACATGTGTAGAAAAACCAGGAGCATAATGGCAACGAGGATTTAAAAAGTAAGCAGCTGCATGCAAATCTCGGTGCATCTGAATCTCCCATTTTTTATCAATGAGATCCCATATCTCCTTATAATCCTTTTCTTCTCCACCCAAGTTCTTGGCTATCTTTTCCTTTGCTTCATCCATAGCATTGTAAAGAAAACCCATTGCAGGCTCTTTTTCTCCATCTACTAGCCTCAATACTTCAACCAAAGGCTTTGTAGTCTTGATAGCATAGATTAAACTTGGCCAAAAGTTGTTATCCCTCAAAATTATTCTTCTAATTTCCTTCCCATCAGCTTTGTTTGCGTAATTACTATTTGTCCACTTTTCAGAAGTGAACATAGCCTCCAATGGTTGCCTCACTTGATAAATACTTTGTAATGTCAAATATGCAGTGGCAAATCTAGTAGCTGCTGGCCATATAAGCTCTCGGTTAGTGAATTGCCTCATCAAGCTCAAACCCAAGAATGATTATAAATGTAGTTGCTCACTTTCTTTGCCTTGATCAAAGCATTTTTGTGTTGTGGTAGCTCTCCAATTTTTTCTAGCATTAAATCAAGGCAATGTGCAGCACATGGAGTCCAATACAAATGCTTCCTTTTCTCCATAAGCATTTGTCCCGCTGCCCGGTAGTTGCTTGCATTATCCGTTATCACTTGAACCACAAGCTCTTCTCCAACTTCCTCAACAACTTCATCAAGCAACCGAAACAACAATTTAGCATCTTTCACATGCTCGGATGCATCAACACATTTCAAAAAAATTGTACCACTAGGATTATTGACAAGGAAATTAATTAGACTCCTATGTCTAATATCTTGCCAACCATCAGACATGATTGAAACTCCGGTAAGTGGCCATGTACTCTTAATGTCATCAACAATTTTTGTTGTTGTTGTCAACTCTTCCTTTAATATCCATGTCCTAAGGTCGTACATGCTTGGAGGTTTAATCCCCGACCATATGCGCCAACCGACCGAAGCATGTTGACAAATGAAGGACTCCTTGCCACATTGAATGGTATTGCATTCTCATAAAAGAACCTCCCAATGTCTAAACAAACTTGGTTACGTAGTTCTTTTGCATTCTGGGGGTGTAATTGTGGTTGGTTGGTCACCACTAGAACTGTCTTTCATCATGAATCTATCCATAGGTCCCCGGATACCTCTATTAGAGATAGAACCAGAACCACCGGAAGCCACATTGTTCCCATCATCACCTTCAGCTTCCCTCCCGCTTCCAAAGTATGAGCCAACGTCCACACGTTGTTCAAACTCCATCTGTGCTAAATTCTTGGAGGCTTGAACTTTGTTTAATATATCAACAAATTTTTTCTTCACTTCTATTGATACATTGTCACAAGGCTTGACATTTTTCTTTGTTCCGGCGAGATGATGTTTCATCCGTGCCACTCCGCCTGTGATGACTTTCTTGCAGTAATTGCATATAACATATTTATATGATCTTTTTTCTTGACCATCCTCAACAAGTTCAACACAATGATCCCAAGCTGGATCTTTTTTATTCTTTGAACCGGTAGACACTCCAAGATTGCCTAAACCACTTCCTGCACTACTCTTTTTTGAGTGGTTCACCATTTATAAACAATCAATCTTTCAACCTACAAATAATTCATAATATTCAACACATTAATATTTAAAAAAAAAAAAAAATCATATCACAGATTCACAGTGCCTAGTTGCCTACTGCCTACTGCTGAGTGAATATACTAGTATACTACTGCCAAAAATCCTATCACAAATATTAGTTATATTACTTATATACTTATATACATTATACATATATATAATACTCTAACAACACCTACTCAGCTTATTAGTTTAACCCAAAAAAAAAAAAAAAAATTGAAATAAAATGACGCATCACCTGAAGTTGGAGGGTTGGAGGCCGCCGGATGGGGGAGGTCGCGTCGCACAGTGAGTTCGCAGTCTTCGGCTATTCGCACAATCGCACTTCCCGTTTCTTTGAATTACTTACACTGACTTAGTGACTTCTAAATTCTAATTCTAGTCAAACTAGGGTTGATTGGGTATTGGGTTGGGTTTTTTTTTGTATTGGGCTTAAACAAATAATAGTTGGACTTTCTAACATCTAAAAGGCCTAAACAGCCTCACTTCACGCCTCAGACACACCCTAAGGCGTGCCTGAGGCGTACGCCTCTATGGCCTGAGGCGTCCGCCTCTAACATTGCCTGAGAGGCGGATGCCTCAGGACTATACCCTAACGCCTCGCCCTGAGGCGTACTGAGGCGCGCCTTTTTAAACCATGATAAAATCAAAAGGAAGTTTCTTCCTCCAACTTCTCCCCAACTCTCTCTTCTCTCATTCTGTTTTCCCTTCTTCACGATTGGGAAGAACAGAACCAATCGTTCAAACTCTGTCTCTCATAGGCCCATAACGAGAAGTATATCTCGTGAACATATCAATTTGGTTCCCGTTGCCGGCGTTATGGGCAGTAACATCACTGAGGATCCTGCTTTCAAGGCACTGCAGAAATCTGTTCGCTCCCATGAAGCTTATGCTGACAAAATTGAGAACCTCTCTGCCACTGTGTCTTCCCTCTTTGCAACACAACACCAACAGGCAGCTTCCCTGGTTAATTTGGAGAGAATGATGAATCAACTTTTGATTGCTCAAGGCAAAACGCCAGTCTCCGAAGCTGAATCAGAAACGGTGCACCAACTTGAAGGGGATTCTGCCATCCAGGAAACACCAGACGATCACCATTCCCTCATTCGATATGCTAAAATGGACTTTCCATTGTTCTCTGGAGATGAAGACCCCAGTGTATGGCTGCTACGTTGTGAATCCTATTTCCGGAATGCCAACTTTCCGGATTTGGATCGGATAAATTTTGCGCACACCATATGATTGGAGAAGCCCAATTATGGTACCATTCTGAAACAGAGTTGATGAAGTTTCCCTCATGGGCTGCCTTCAAAACAGATTGTTGTCTCAGCTTTGGGCCACTACGTAGTATTAATGCCTAAGGTGAACTTAAACAGTTGTTTCAAGCAGGACGGAATATAGACGAGTATGTCAAAGAATTTCGCACGCTGTTAGTGAGAGCAGGGACAGTACAACCCAACCAGCGAGTGGATCTTTTTACCGGCGGATTAGATGAAATAATCCGTATAGATGTGGAGCGCACCAAACCAAAAACACTAAATGAAGCCATCAACACAGCCAGGGATTTTTCCCGCAAATGCCAATTGTTGGGACTTTTGTCATCCAAGCCTGCACCTCTACAAACCAGTAACAACATTGCCCAGTCATCCGCCCATGTTCCATTACCCATACATCCATCACCCAATCAGCAACAACCCAAATTCAAATTCCTCACACCCGAACAGAAGGCCGAACGCATAGCCAAAAATTTATGCTACAACTGTGATGAAATTTTTTTTTCCGGGTCATAAATGCTGCCACCTTTTTATGCTGTGGACATTAGAAGATGGTGAAGAACTGCCTGGTGGGCTTGCATCCACGGAGGATTTCCCTGAATTCAACTTGAACGCACGCGATGGAATCACCTAAATTCAAGCTTGAGGACAAGCTTGATCTCCAGGAAGGGTGTAATGATACAATACAGATCCTGGGTTGCCAATCTGCCTAAAATCAATTTAGTTATCTTATTTCCTAGTTTATTAGTAGTTGCCTTTTTACTTTAAGTAACCATATTTTAGAATATTGTTTCCTTATGTCTTAAGCTTTTAACTCCTACATATAGGGAGAATATTAGATTGTCTTAGTATGTTGGAAATTGAATAAAATCAAAAGGAAGTTTCTTCCTCCAACTTCTCCCCAACTCTCTCTTCTCTCATTCTGTTTTCCCTTCTTCACGATTGGGAAGAACAGAACCAATCGTTCAAACTCTGTCTCTCATAGGCCCATAACGAGAAGTATATCTCGTGAACATATCAAAGAAAAGTTGTTTTGTATCACATAACACAAACGATACAACCCGGTGGAGAATATTGCTTAGCACTTGCTCTCTTGTGAATCAACCATTGTATAAACCTAAATACTACCTTTTGGGTGGATTGAAATGTGAACTGGCCAAATTGCAAGTCTAACTAAAACATGTATCTTTCACATGCTCAAAATCTGGACAATCTCTACTGAACTGATCATAACTCTCTTTTAATACTCTCTGATTGATGAGTTGCTTAATTCTTTAGAAACTAGACATTAAAGAGCTTTATTTGGATGTGATTTGTCCAGATTCCTTGTGCAATATTTCAAAAGCATAGGATTACTTTCCATGTCAAGTATAATTTCCATTGTGGTTCTTGTGTTTTTCTTTGCATGATGAAGGTATGCTGAAATACTTGAAGATTTAAAGAAAGATCCTGAAAGCCATGGTGGGCCACCCGACTGCATTGTTAGTCCATACTATACCCTTGAGCTTTTTGCAACTTCTTTTCTTTAATCAATAAGGCTATGGTGAAGCTATATTGCTTTCCTGTTTTTATATTCAATTTAGCTTCTTTGCCGACTTCGCGAGCAAGTTCTTAGAGAAGTGGGATTCAGAGATATATTTAAAAAGGTTAAGGTGAGCATGAATTCTTCATTTATTGTGTTCTAGATGAACTTTAGAAGATCCAGGCTTAATAGGAGAAACATTGTACTGTTGATGGCTTGATGCATTCCAATTCACTAGATGTTTTTAATGGATTGGTTGGGTTGGGTCTATTGGAATTGAGTAATAAACAGGTCCAACCATTTAATTAATGGATTGGGTCATAATGGGACTTTATAAACTTATTAATCTATTGATATTTATTTGTGACCCATTTATACCAAGTCCATTACCTTTTTAGTTTTCATTATTATTGTTGTTGTTCTTGTTCTTGTTCTTGTTACTATTGTTGCTGCTACTATTACTACTGCTTGGTGAGATAGGTTCACCCAGTTCAAACTCATCACATATGTTGGTGCTAAATAGATATGGGTGTACCTAAACCTATGTATTTATGGGTTGCATTTGGCTGCCATTCATTTGCACTTTGGTTAAGATTAACACCTATCCAATTATATAAAAGAGTGTTTCTTTTCTGATTCCCCTTCCATTTATTCCATAATGTGTAGAAATAATTTGAATTCTGGATCATTCATTTTGTTTTCTCATGTGTGGAAATGCTCTAGGATGAAGAAAATGCCAAAGCTATATCCTTATTTGAGCATGTAATTGGCCTTAATGATGCTATTGTGGATGAAGCTAAGCGTGTTGAGAATTTGGTTAGAGGAATATTTGCAGGAAATATATTTGACCTTGGCTCAGCTCAGGTATGTCCTGAACTCGGAGATACCCCCACAAAATTAAGAGTTTTTTGTCATTGAACCTGACTTGATTGTGAGCATAACATTTATGTTGGTGAAGATGCTGAATGAAAGTATCTATGGAGATATTGCTTATAATTCATTCAATGAAGTATTGGAATTAACATTCCTATATAATTTAGATTCCATGCTATGTATCATTGTTGAAAAGATTGAAAGAAGTCAAAGAACTGCCTCTGTGTAAGATAATCATCTCATGTGTTTGCAACATTAAAGCACAGCATATTTGTAAAAGTTCAGAAAATGCTTTCTATTAAAATTTGTTGGTTGACTTTAGTTCATGAAATATTTTATCATGAATTCTATAACCTGCAATGACCAACACATTTTTAAGGTAGACTTTTTTACTTTTCCATCATTAATGCCTCTTTTCGACAATATATAATGAAAGCTTGCAGAGGTGTTCTCTAAGGATGGCATGTCCTTTCTTGCTAGCTGTCAAAACCTAGTTCCTCGACCATGGGTTATTGATGATTTGGATGCATTCATATTGAAATGGGGCAGGAACTGTTGGAAAAAGGTTAACTTCACATCATCTTTCTTAATATTAACATTTCCTTTACAATGAATTTAAGTTTCATTATCTTTCATAATTTCACCTTATTATACATTTTCCTTTACTGACCTGATTACCTCTTATACAGGCTGTAATTTTTGTTGATAATTCTGGTGCAGACATTATTTTGGGTATTTTACCATTTGCAAGAGAGTTACTCCGGCGTGGGACACAGGTTATACTCTTGATTTAGCTCTCTCATAGAGTCATAACTTTTAGATGTATAACATGAATACAAAACACAACTTTGTTGCTAGCTGTTAGCTCCCCCCTTTTTCATAATACTAAATAAGGGTAGTGGTTGCGGGTTTCCCTTTTTACCCAAATAAGGAAATCATTTTTTTTCTCTGGCAATTTTTCAAGTATTACAAATTTTGGGGTTTAATATATGCACCCATATGTTAGTTGCATGATGAAGATTATGTTACTTGTATCATTGGTAAATCTTCTCTTGTATTTCCTCCTCAACTTTCCATCACTGAGATATAGGAAGTGGAGGATATTTTGATTTGATTAGTATAGCCATTGAAATTTTTGTTTCTTTGAGTTTTCTAGCTTTTAGTATCTTTTTAGTTGTGATCATAATGTGACACTTAAATTTACATGATCTCAAGTCTTCAATGTTTAGGCATCAAATGAGGCTCTAATTGGTTGTCAAAATGAAGGTTTCTAGTAATTGAGCACTGTGAATAGTTCATCTACTTCTGCATCACAGCTTATTCTGACATTTTTGCTTTGTTGGGAGCAGGTTGTTTTGGCTGCTAATGAGTTGCCTTCTATAAATGATGTAACATACACAGAGCTGATTGATATAATTTCTAAGGTGGTTGAAGCACTATTATTTGATAATCTTATAGGTGTGTAATTGAGGTTGATTCTGACATGTTTATGTATTAACAGTTGAAGGATGAGCGTGGGAAGCTTGCAGGAGTTGATACCTCTAATCTTTTGATTGCAAATTCTGGTAATGATTTGCCGGTAAGGAACAAACATTCTTTGGGTTTAGTCGCATGTTGCATCATTTTATCTGATGTCTTTTAGGTAATGCCGAGAGCCTGAGACTGACCCCTTTGCATCTTTCTGCTGTTAACATAATAATAATAATAATAATAATAATATTCTTACCTATTATCACAGGTTATAGATCTTTCAAGAATATCACAAGAGCTTGCCTACCTGGCGAGTGATGCTGACATTGTCATTTTGGAAGGCATGGTGAGCTGGGCTTGTTATTCTGTGAATCTTCTTTGGTTGCTTTTTGTTTGACCATAGATAAGATCGAGGACCCAACAGAGAATTGCCTGCAACTTATGCATATGCTTCTTTTGCAGGGCCGCGGAATAGAGACTAACCTATATGCTCAATTCAAATGTGACTCCCTTAAGATTGGAATGGTAATTAACTTCAGTTACAACCTCAATGAGTTGCACTGCCCTCCATAAAATAACCAGAGAAAAATGTGAACATATACCAGTATAATAGTACGAGGGGGCCGGGGGCATATAGTATTGTTGAAACACCGATCAATATGTAAGCATTTCTTATTGATCGTGTTTTCATTTGATATTTGCATGCAGGTGAAGCACCCAGAGGTAGCTCAGTTCCTTGGGGGAAGGCTTTATGATTGTGTCTTCAAGTACAATGACGTCTTGGGTTGAACTTAGGATTAATCCATTTGTACTGTTAGACAAACAACATTAGAAGGGAAGGTAAGTGAAAACATGCTGCAGCAGGAGGACGTTAAATAATATTACTACTAAAATACTACTTGTGTAAGGAGATTACTTGGTAAGAGTTAGTGGGATCCCACTTGTTGGATGTCCAACGCAATTTGTATTGAAGATAAAATTGTATCGGGTCGGGTCTACCATAAATTGGGATTATTGTTCGGGGTGTTAGGCCTAAATAAAGTGTACAAAGCTTGAGGCACACGTCCCAAAATGGCGGTCCAAATACAAAGACCATGGCCAAAAGAATGAGCTAGAATTAATTATGCAACTTACAAGAGTCAAACCTAGGTGAATGGGTTGGGAGTGCACACTAGAGACCACCAGGTCAGGGTGTTTGTAGTGCTCCAATCGTCATGTCCTAAAGAGAGACAAGATATCCCTGTTTATAGTAGAACCCTCTACCACTGCACCGCTTACGTGTACAGCTCCTGATCCGCCTTTCTCACCACCACCCATGTTTAAGCGCACTTGCCACGCCATATTGCACTTGCCATGACGTTGGGAATGGCTAGTTGGGGAGGCTAGCGCCCCAGTCGGCACTTCGTCAATAGCCTACGACATCTTCGTTACATGTTGGGCCAACTCACCATCCTTTCCTTTTCTTGACCTTCCACCTCTTTTGCACAAATTATGCTGTGACGGTTGCAAAAACGACATCGTTTTGACTAAAAATGCGTGTTCCATTTTTAAAAAAAATTCAGGTTCGATTCCCGGCAATAGCATTTTTTTGTGCATAATTTGAATTTAAATATCCACAATGAATGAACTAAATATCCACAATGAATGAACTATATTCATAGTGAATGAATAACTAAAAATCCAGAATGAATGAACTAAATATCCAGAATGAATGAACTAAATATCCAGAACGAATGAACAACATAATGCTGTTGAGGGGAATCAAAACTGATTTTCTTTTTTTAAATAAGACGCGCATTTTTAGTTAAAATGACGTTGTTTTGCAACCGTGGGCACCATGTTGCACAATATAACCATTGCCTCTTTTGACTTTCTAACCTTCCACCCAGCCCAAGCCTAATAGTAAGCCAAGAATCTCAACCCATGACCTATATCCCCATCAATTATTATTATTATTATTATTATTATTATTATTATTATTATTATTAAGATAATGAATAGTGACCATTACATTAAAATAAAAACTGATATGTAACTATGTAAGCAAACTCTTAGCATGACATCATTTTTTATTGGTAGCCAACTAGGTCAAATCAATACTCTAATTGAAGCATTTTAAATTTTGATGTTTTAATTGTATTTTATTGAAGGGCCTAGTTGATCATATCTCTTAAAATTTTAAAAATTATATTTAAAAATCCCTTGAACCATTAATATTATTATTGATCCATTATTACACAACCAATAAAATCTATTATTTTTATGTTGCATAGTTATATCTTACATATAATAAAGCTATATGGTTTGGGAAATAATAAATGTTAAAATTAATTACCAACATTAAATAGCCACAACATCTTTTACTATAAAAAAAAAAAAAACAAAACAAAAAAAAAACACAACATTTGAATTTTTTTTTTGAAAAATAAAATAGTTATTTTTTTTCTCGCCTATAACAAAGGATTACATTTATTGAATTAATGGGGTTATTAAATGTTATGATATTAGGATTAAAGATTCCGATTCCCGATTAATAAAAAATATGAAATGATGCAATATTAATTAAATCTCTGGCTTTACAATGAAAGTCTATTTGATATGCTTTTGTTATTTGTGGTGGTTCTTGGGATTACAATATTAATTAAATTTTTTATAGAAGTCTATTCGATATCTGAAATAGTGCAATTAATGCAAGCCTCTACATATAATTTTTCTCCCTCTCAAATGCTAGAAGCAAGAAGGGATGAAGAAAGCAAATGTTGCGGGCCGTGGGTCAATTATTGGACTTCAGAATAAAAAAAAAAATTATTTAAGCCATAAATAAAAATTTAAATATATATAAATGTATATATCATATGGGTCTTTAATGTTTTTCTGGATGTCTAAACTTAGGACTTTTAAAAGAAAAAAAAATATTTAAATTATCTCCACAAAAAGTGGTCTTTGACTTATAAAATGACATTTGGGTTTATGGAATGACATGTGCATAAAGAATATATTATATAATCATATAAAAAAATGTGTTCAATTAGAGTTTAAATTTACTCATACAAAATTTGAAATTTGATTTCTAAATGTAATTATCTTAGTTATTATTCGTATTGTGAAAATTATAATATAGATGAAATACAATTAAGAATAAATCAATATAATTATGTAAATTCTCTCTATAATTTTATTTGAATATGTACATAATTAGAGATTATATTAACCATACAAAATTTTAATTGTAATTTTGTATTCTATAAAAATAATAAATACTTGACCAATAGAAGCTCAAAAATATTATTATATATATTAAACAATTTAAATTTTTTCTATTTTTTTATTTTTTATTTATATTTATAATAACATAATTTTTCCCCGTGCATCGCGCGGGTGAATTACTAGTATGTATATAAAATTATAAATTATTTAAAAACATCTCAATTCTCAATTTTTATTAATCATGAACTATATAACCATATTAATGTACACATGAAGTTAATATAAATCATGTTAATTAATATTTATAAATTAGTTTATATATAAAATTTATAATGTCTTTGAATAATTGAGTGAGTCTCCAGTAACGATCCGTGAGGTGAGTCAGGTCATATGATGAAAATGTAATACTTATACTGAAAAACGTAATACTAATTAAAAATAAATTATTTGTTACTTATAAGGAAAATGTAATACTTATGATAAAAATTGTAAGACTTATTTGAAAAAATGTAATACTTATAAAAGATATGACTTGTTTTATGGATCTGTGAGACACTGAGACGGTCTTATAGGAGAGTTTGCCAAAATAATTATATACATATATAATTGTATAATACAAAATTAACAAGTTTTATTAATTTATTTGGTTTGTGCAAGAGTATATTAATAGGAAAAAGATATATGTACTCTCATAGAGTATAACTGACGCTACATGTACAAATTTATTTAGGTAAATAAAAGTGAATGAAAAAAATAATGGTCACTTTATTGTTTGATGACACATCAGTAAAAAAGTATAAAATGGAGTAGAAAGTGAGAATAGATGTAGTATTACTCATATTAATCTAATCTAAAAACATAATAAGTCTCAATGAAAGTTATATCCCTCATTTATGTCCATATTTTTAATGCTAACCATTTTGTACATTGTGCTTTTATAATTGAACTATACAATTTTTTGTACAAAAATACCCTTACCGTTATAACTTCCGTTTTCTTTTCATTACTTTTATCATGCACATGCATCCACCATATCTTTTCTTATATTATTTATTGATAACAATATTTGTAAGACATTATATATTTATTATATATTGGATTAATATAATAAATAAATTTTATTTCACTTATATTTTAATTAGTAAAAATTTTGTCAAATTATTTTTAAAAATATAAATATTGGGCATATGTTTTTGTGCATCACACATAAGAAAGACTAGTATTAATAACAAAGTTAAAGGTTTGGATGTAGGGTAATAATTGTGGAGCCCAAGCAAAGAAACCCTTGTTCTTGGCTTTGGGGGGTAATTTATATCATGGACTAGGGTTTACATAGTATTATGGATTATAACATAAGACAGAAAAAATTACAATACAAGACACATATACATGTTATATATTTATTTATTTGTTTAAATTTAATTTAGGTACATCATTTGTGTTAAAGTTTTCCCGCCATCTTAGTGGTACTAGTCTAATAAACTTTCACTTGAACTGCCAAGACTCGATTTTTTATTTTTTTTATTTTTGTTGTTGTTGTTGTTGTTGTTGTTGTTGTGGTAACGCTCTTCTAGAATTACGTTTAACGTCCCTTTATGATATGCCTTTCCCAATGGGCGCCTCGGGTCGGTAGCCGGGCTCCGGGACATTACTACCACGTCGACTATCGACCTGAGCCCAAAGAAGGAAAAGAACAAACTAAAGCAAGGAGTTCATTAGCCATACGATGGCACATATTTCACACCACAAATACAAAATTTCATAACATAAAACACAATTGTTAATTTGTTTCAGATACAAAATTCATATTCTTAATGTACAGAATTTCATAACACAAGATACAAAAATTCATAACATAAGATACATACACACGTACCAGGTCCATAATGCACCTGTGAATCCTGATTCATGGTATAAGAGCACCCTTATCCACGCATATTTAGAGGAATTTGGAATAGTGTTGGCTGACCAATTGGAGAGACAAAAAATTAGTTCATCTGCAAGCTTGTTTTGGAACAGTAACTTGAAGTGTCAAGCTAAAAAAAAAATGGAGATTGTGCGCGTTTGGCGCACAACAATTGCTCACACAAGTGCGTGTAGCGCACGCACCCCAACGCACCTGTCAGTATGATTTTTATTATTATTTAAAAAAAATCAATTTTTTCTTTTCTCTCTTTCCTAATCACACTTACAAAAATTTAAAAAAAGAACACAACAACAACAACTTCTTAAGGATGCGGTTTTGGGAGTTTTGGGGGCTGGGTTAGGTTGGGAGGTAGTATCTGATCCATAATCTATTCCATTGATTTGAATTCGAGTGAATTGCTGCTCTCAAGTCTCCAAGTCCAGTAGAGTATAGTAGTGAGTGAGCAGGTGCAATTGAAGAAGAAGAAGAAGAAGAAGAATTATTAGGGTTTGAGAGATGGGGGCGAGCAGCGATCCTAACCAGGACGGGTCCGACGAACAGCAGAGGCGTTCCGAGATCTACACCTACGAGGCCCCCTGGCACATCTACGCCATGAATTGGAGCGTCCGCAAGGACAAAAGGTACCGCCTCGCCATCGCCAGCCTCCTGGAACAGTACCCCAATCGCGTCGAAATTGTTCAGCTGGACGACTCCAATGGCGAGATCCGCTCCGATCCTAATCTCTCCTTTGAGCACCCTTACCCTCCCACCAAAGTCATCTTCATTCCCGACAAGGAATGCCAGAAGCCTGACCTCATCGCCACCTCCAGCGACTATCTCCGTGTTTGGCGCGTCGCCGACGACAACTCCCGCGTCGAAATCAAAACCCTCCTCAACAACAACCGCAACAGTGAGTTCTCCGGTCCTCTAACCTCCTTTGACTGGAACGAGGCAGAGCCTAAGCGCATAGGCACTTCCAGTATCGACACCACCTGTACCATTTGGGACATTGAGAGGGAGACCGTTGACACTCAACTCATCGCCCACGACAAGGAGGTTTATGACATTGCATGGGGAGGCGTTGGCGTCTTCGCCTCTGTCTCAGCCGATGGCTCTGTCAGGGTGTTTGATCTTCGCGACAAGGAACACTCCACTATTATATATGAGAGCTCCGAGCCGGATACCCCTCTTGTTCGCCTGGGTTGGAACAAGCAGGACCCTAGGTACATGGCTACCATCATCATGGACAGCTCCAAGGTTGTTGTACTAGATATCAGATTCCCAACACTGCCTGTGGTTGAATTACAGAGGCACCAGGCGAGCGTAAATGCCGTTGCCTGGGCGCCTCACAGCTCTTGCCACATTTGCACTGCAGGTGATGACTCCCAGGCACTCATCTGGGACCTCTCCTCCATGGGTCAGCCCATTGAAGGGGGACTGGATCCCATTCTCGCTTATACTGCTGGTGCTGAAATTGAACAGCTTCAGTGGTCATCCTCCCAGCCTGATTGGGTAGCCATTGCATTCTCAAACAAGCTTCAGATTCTCAGGGTGTGACTGTAGTTGTGAGTGTGTCACTGTGCCACCCTACAAACTTCACTTCACTTCAAATCCGGTTCGTTATGATCTCAGTCTGTCTGTCTTCTTATTTACAGTACAATTTTATTATGTGTCAAAGTATTGTTATTTTTACCTTCTTTCTTCTTCCTTTAATCTCACTAGAGACAATCCACTTATCCTGCTTTTTTACTGACCTAGAGTGCGAACAGACTTAGGATCCTTGTAGAATTTGCATGACACCTTCAAATTAAGGACTTTCATACAATATCAAACTTCTTTCATAGCTTAGGATCCTCCTTGTATTATATTCTCCTGTCAAACTAATGCTATTTTTATTTGCTTTCCTGCAATTTTATTTTCTTGGGGACTTCCATACATTACCAAAGACTTGGATCCAATATGCTCCCACCGTATAACTTTCCTAGATGGGCATATGTGTCCTAGTGTTACTTTCACCATAGATTGTTCTAAAAGGTTCTGTGAGGCTATCTCATTTTGATGACTGAGATGTCCCTGATTGCAGATTCCCACCTAAAAAGATGGAGAAAATAGCATTTTTATTGATTGAAGCTATTTTAGGGGTGTTGTGTCATGAATGTATGAAATTCAAATTCGTAAGTTATGAATTTTATGATAGATTGATAAAACCTATAAAAAAGTTACAATAAATTGTTAAAGTCCCGAGCCTGTCAGTGTACAGGTTGAAGCAGTGCAGCACAGCACTTGGTTTCCGGTTAGTGTTCAACTGTTCACGAAGAGGGTTCAGCAGGTGTGGTGGAAATCAAAAGTTCTTTGGGAATTTTAACTTGATACAATGGAAGTGGCTTAAGTAATACACATGTATGCTAATTAGAGTTAAGATATTATTAATATTTGTGGCCCAGCTGCACCATACTTAAATGCTGCTTGGCTTCCACACAGGTTCTTGCCACTTCCAAGTTCCAAGTTGGGACAGTGCTTGATTGGAATTCATCTCGTCAAGTTCTTTCCTTCTTGGTAGGTAGTCAAAACATTTTTGTGTTGAACTGCAATGCAGTTAGGTGAAGTTTTTCTAAATTACTTTGGGAATGAAAAAATTAAAAAATTGCCAAGAAGTATAGATGCTTCAAGGATGGGAATGGAAGGAAGATCAGAGGCGGAAATGTAAAAGGAGTAAAATTTCTGCATTAGAAGATAAAAACTAAAGCATATATCTAATAACTATATATATATATATATATATATATATATATATATATATATATATATATATATATATATATATATATATATATAGAAATTGGATTTAATTCTGAAGATCACAAAAACCAAACTCTAGTACTGGCCTGATGGGGTTCTTTTTTACTTAATTTTATGTGGCACTACCTTTGACATGTGTTCTTTGTATATTAAGATTCAGATTTATGTTTAGAACTTGAAATTCTATAAGCTTCTCTAGAATGTACTTTAACTATTGTAATTTTATGTTTGGGGCAGAATGACAATATCCCAAAGTAGATAATGTTTGCTGATATGTCTTAAAATGAGAACTTCCTTTTTTTGTATGCAATTATGAATTGATGCAAATACAAAAATCTTTACAGCCTATAGGAAATGTTAGAAAATGTGTCTTTGGATTTTCCTGGACAGTTTGTGCTGCTAATGAATGACTTCACACCGGAGGACTATGAGCTTGTGTATGTTTTATTTCTCACCAGTCATGTTTGCTGGTACTAAATCTTTTGTTTTTTGTTTTTCTCCTCTGATTCATTCTTTGATTTCCAGAAGCCACAAAGAGATGTGATTGCTTGTATTTGTGGAAACAGCCCAAACCCTGACCTGAATATTTTTGTTGCCCTTGAATATTGGAGGAAAAGCAGTGTGTTTTAATTGCTAATTTCTACTCTGAGCAGTTATCCCTTCCAATCCAAGTATTTTGTCTCCTCCCTGATTTATATTATGTTTTCCCAAAATGATTGTTTCATTTAGGGTTAAATGATCACAGTTCTTGTGCCTCTACTTTTAAGATTCTGCAAGCATATTTGATGTAGCCAATCAACTAATGTACTTAAAGTCTGAAACTCAATATTATTATTATGCCATCCTGTGTATGTTTTTTACTGGTAGTTTGTATTTTTGAGAAGGATGTAGAATGAACTTCCAAGGCTTGGCCCTAGCCCTAGCCCATAGCCCATAGCCCCTAGATTTGGAAACAACACAACACAAGATTACATGTAACTGTCATGAATCAGCTGCCTGCCAAGTGCCAAGTAGTTTTGAATTGAAGTAGTAATCTGCCATCCTATACTATCGAGTCCTATAATTTCTGAGGCTATCCTTATCCCTGCAAATTGTTGACTCTCAAAAATGGTTTACTTTCATATCATTAAATTTGCAAATTTTTCACTATTTGTTTTACATTTTTGCAAATCTCTCTCTCAAAAATGAGTCCCACTTTCATATTATATTATAAATATAATAAGAAAATAGTAATAAAAGAAATAATAATAAAATAAAAAAGTATGGTAGCGGCAACTTTTGTTACCTACCAAAATATGCCAATTCTATCCTTGCTGGGATAATTTAAGCTTGAGAGTCTTTTTATCGCATCTGGTCCTATGACTAAAAGTATTGTCAAATTAAGTTTACCATTATTATTTCTAGCACATTTAGTGCATGACTTACTGAAAATCATCGCATACCTTACATGTGAGGTTTAATATCTTTTTCCTTAGGGATGACAGTATTGGCAAGGTATGTGAGGTTTAATATCTTTTTCCTTGGGGATGACAGTATTGGCAAGTCTTTGAGTCGGGCATTCTGAGTTGAAAGACGAGAGTAGAAGATATGTGATAAAAAAAGAAGTGGGCAGACAAATGAAGTGTAGTGGGTCTTTTTTCTTAAAAAAAAAAAAAGTGAAATTGAAAATATTAAAGGGAAGTATGAGATTCTGACTTGGTGAAAATGAAAGAATCTGTTGAGAATTCCTCCCAACCAACGGAGTAGAAAAAACTCTATCCAATTTCTAAGATGTGGAGTGTAGTAGTCAGTCAGTATATAATGAAATTATGAGAGTTGAAGTGTTGAAGTGATTGGCAACTAGCTCAGCTCATGGATTTTGTATTGAGATTTGGTACACGGTTCTGATAGCTTCTTGAAATTCTATTTCTCAACTTCCCCACTTGTCAAAATTGTAACAAATTTATCAAAATCCCCACTTCAATTCCGTGGGTTCTGTTCTTACAATTGGTATTGGTATTGGTATTGTATACATCAGCAGATATCAACTACCACCCCACAAGGTTACTATTCATATTTACTAACCACCCTGACCATAGTACAGTATATAGTAAGTATATTTAGTTACACATGACCATTTCTAGTCTAGTTATATACAACCCTACCCTGCTGCCTGCCTGCCTGCCTGCACAATACTAACTAAATTAAGCTATACCAAGCTTGATCATTGTAGATGATGACAACTTGTAGCTCCTTTTCTTCTGCCCAAAAACTTCACCACCAATTCATCAACTCAACTCTCAGTCACCACTGGAAACTAAACTAGTATAAATTAATCATCCTCGAATAAATAAATGATGCCCCTACCCCTTAACCCAAATCCAACTATTAAATATTAATACCAATCAATATCAATATATGGACATTAAAGTATAATACCCTCGAAACCTTGGTAAATCTCTTGACTTCACACCATACTCTGTGGGGGGAGCATTGCACTTGTCTCACAATCCTCATCCACTGAAATTCTTCTCCAACCCTGGCTTCTACCAGGGAATAGTTTAGCTTGATCAACGCCATTTCCTCGGAAGCCTGTTATTTTAGATGAAACCATGGGCATCACCAGCACTGAAGATGCTTGAAGTGAATCATCTCCCAATCCTAATGATAATGAACATGCAGCCTGCAAATGAACCATTCTTCTTAACATTATACCCTTTTCTTCTCTGCTAATAACAAAGTATAATTGTCTCAAAAGGAGGGAATAAAAAAAAAAAAGTTAAATATCGGACCTTAGCCTTGACAATAAGATTTACAGCTTTCATCAGCACTACATGAGAAAATGATTTCACATCTTTAAGTTGAGGATCTTCCAATGGCATAATCAGCCTGTCATGGTGCACATTTGCCAAGTACAGTGGCAATAAGAAAATGCTCACAAAAATACATTCTAAAGAATATGAATAAAATATCCTCTATGAAAAATACAAACATACAAGTGGAAACAGTCAAGTCTGAATAATGCACAACTGTATTTATCATTAGAAAACAATGGTCTGATAAGAGTGTATCCTGTCTAGAAAAATAGAGAATTGACTTACCTCTCCACATCATTTGACAGACTTGAAGCAGAAACAAGAGAACTATCCTTGGTTTGAGTTCCTGCAAAAGTTCACAAGAGATTATTTCATGACCTGACACAGAAACTACGATATATATGCCTTCGCATAACTATTGGCATACCTTTAGAGTCATCCGGGGCAAGCAAAGATATGCCTATGAAAACACACATCACACCAAGTACAAACATTGTTGTCCGTAGAGCATCAAATACCTGCTTAAACATCATCACCCAGTAAGCATGCAAGTCAACCATCTGATCCTTGACTTAGAGGTGGTTTGGAAAACTATTTCCGTTGAACAAGCTGGTAGTACAATTGCAAATCATATAACCTAACTAATGGGGTCACAAAATGGAGTATATCATTTTCCTGGTTCAAGTTTTTTTTTTTTTTTTTCTTTTATATATATATATATATATATAAATCTTGGGGAGGGGAGAGGGAGAGAGAGAGAGAGAGAGAGAGAGAGAGAGAGAGAGAGAGAACCTGATATTCCTGGAAATACACAAATCCTGTACAAATAGAAAAGAAGGTCCAAGCAATCTGAAACATGGGGACGATAAGTATTGCATCAAACCGAGAAAGTCCTTCATTTAACCTAGCCATCTGCAGTTTTTTAAATCAATGAATCAAAAATTAATATTAGACACTCATGAATAAGTATAGCCTTTGAATGATGATTTATTGAACAAGGGTATGTTTTTTACCCAAAATCCTGCTGTACTAAGAAATAGCAGAAGCATTGAGTACGTGAACCAACTGTGTAATAGGTAACTGTTTGAGATGGACAACCTTAGCAAGTTTGAGCTGCAAACAGGCATAAAAAAATTGAATTCTTATTTCCTGCACCAAGAGACAACGGAAAGTTTAGATGGAAACTTACAGTGATTTTGCAAACAATACTGAAAATGACCCAATAGTGCCTGAAACAATAGCATATGAAAATGGAAGCAGCATTTGCCAAAAGGGCTTCAGGTCATTTCCAGGGACATTGAGCAACAGTTCTCCTCTCCTGCATATAATTAAAATTTGGGGGGTTTCCATAAAGTAAGAAATGAAAAATTAATACAAATTATTCTTTGATTACCCAAAAAGGGTGCAGACCAGACCAAATACTCTTGTTTTCTTACCTGTACACCGAGTGATGAAAAGCAACTACTAGAACCAAAATCAGACAATATAGAAGAAATGTGATGTTGCTATACTTCTCCGCCAACTGTTCTGGTGTGTAAACTGCAAACAGTCCAAGAATCAAATATGATACAATAATTCTCTACCGAAATGAAACTTTAGGCTAGAAGTACATAAAAATATGGGGGCAACAAAAAAATTAAATACACAGATCTTTTATGTTTTTACTTTTTTTGGGCTTAAATTTCGTCAGAGTGAAGTAGCAAAATTGGTAAGAAAATAGCTCATACTTCATTTCATCTTGTTATTGTTAAATCAATAGAATGGGAGAGGATTAACACTAGATGGTTGCTCAATCATCAAATCAAATATTGTAGTTGAAAAGACAGTAATATATATGTATTCAGTAATTAGGATTATGTGAACATTTTTATCTACATGATATCAAACATCTTACATAAAATGTTTTCTCTATAATGGTAACATATACAGGGAAAATGATTCAGAATTAATTTAGTACAGATATATATATAGGAAATAACATAGAGAGATAGTAATGTGTATGGGGAATAGCATACCAGGTGACTGGTGGTTGCCAAACGCCACAAGAAAGATGTTTCCAAGAACAATAAAAGTTGTGGCCACCATTACTCTATAAGGTAATAGCACTCGTCAAAATGGAACACTGAAAACAATATGAATCAAATTGAAAATAGGAGTGAAGTATTGAATATTCTGTCAACAATGACTCACTTGATAGTAACTGTTTTGTTAAATACAAAGTAGGCAAATGCAATATTAGAGACAAACTGTATAGAACCCAGAGCTGCAAGGAGCGACTGCACAAAGAAGAATATGCAATGAGATTTATGTGATGGAAGGCAAAGTCCAACTCAAATAAATAGAGGTGGTAAATTTCATACTACACTAACCTGAGCAGCAAATCCAAATGAAATGAAATTAAGAGAGTTTCCAAGAGCAAAGAAAATGATTCCTGAATTAGAGGATCAATGTTAGACATGATGACAATATACAGTAGAAAGTGAAAAATAGTTGCAAACACCAATGATAATGGCTTACCAATTCTCCAGGTTTGGAAATGTATTATGGGCTTCATTGCAGCCTTCCCGTTTGTTCCCTCATTGCCTAGGGCAGAATGTTTTATTCTCTGCAATAAGTAGTTAATCACTCATTACATCAGACATGGTTATTGGTTACTCCAAAATGGATGAAATAAGAAGATGGCCGGCCGGCTGGGGCAGGGGAATCAAATAATGAACCACTGAACAGCCTGGCATAGAAAGGAAAACATGTGGTGATATTGTCTCATGTGCTATATTATGGACATGTAACATGTTTAATATTCAAAACTTTGGACAAGCTACAGGTTGATGATTTAAAAAAAACAAAAAAAAAAAAACATGAAATGCTGGAGTTGCAGGCAGTTATATATTGTTGAATCTGGAAAGACAAAGTAAGAGAGGAAGGTAGCTGGTACCTACCTCATCATGACCCAATTTAAGAAGGTTGGTTCCAAAGTTGATGATAATGCTGCCTAAAAGGTTGATGAAGGCTCCGATAACCCACTCCCCCATAAGGTTGAGGTGGCAGAATGTTGTGTTGAGCGTTGATACAATAGACAATAGAGTGAGTGAAGTTAGTAGGTCTTGCGCAGGCACAGCAGTTAATGATATAAGTTGATGCTCAAAAATAACAAGTCCAGGAGGAGATCCATTAAATTGATTCAGATGTTGAAAAGTGAGTCAGCTTCAAAGCAGCAGCAGCCAAAACTTTGGTTGTTGAACAAGGAAGGAAGGGTGTATCCTTGAGCTTGACCTTGAGAGAAATGTGATAAAGAAACAAGGATAATTAATTTGCATTGCAGAGATGGTGTGTCGTCCTTTTTATAAAAAAAAAAAAAAAAAAAAATCAAATTGTGTGGAATCCCCAGACATAGATCTTGATGGCCGGCCGGCCGGCAAATAAGCAATGGATGGATGCATACAATCAAATTACATACATACATACATACATGTAACAAGCTAAGGAAGAGGAATAAGCAGCCTAGCTAAACCCTAAAGACAGAGAGACAGAAATAATGAAGTAAAAAGTGCGATAGGATGTGATAACAACAATGATAGTGAGATGAGATGCGATGCGATAATTATTAATATGGCTGTGAGAGACAACAAAACAAAACAAATCAAATGAAATGAATGAAATAGTGAAGTAGGAAAGCATGTTTGATCCCTTCAGTCCAACCTAATAATCGTAAGAAGAGAAGAGAAGAGAAGAGAAGGAGCTGCTGAAGCAGAAGAGAACAGAAGCTTTACCTTTAGGCTTTAGGCTTTAGGCTTTAGGCTTTAGGTGGATCGGAGAAGATCGGAGAGGATGGATCGGTGAACGCGCCGTCGTGTAGTGTGGTCTTGTCTGTCTCTCTGTCTTCTTAGTTTTGGACTTTGAATTATGTATGTATGTATGTATGTATCTCAACCTTTCAACTTTAAATTTGTTTTGAAAGCAACTACTCCGTAATTGCGTACCAAGGAGGAATATGGAATATGGTTCGTTCTGGCGACTGGCGTCGGGTCAAAACTCAAAACTTTCTGGAACAAAACGTGACAACTTACTCACTTATCCACCACCCACTTTCTTTTTTCTTTCCGACTCTTTGAATCTTTTTTTTTTTTTTTTTTTTTGAGAACATCTCTTTGAATCTTCTCCCTTAAAAATTTCACTGCTAATGTTTTCATCACGTTACTTTCAACTATTTCAATATTCTACTTTATAAAAATTTTATTTTATTATTAAAAAAACCAGCCTTAAGGAATGAAGGTAGTTGCCACAATGTTAATTTTAAATAAGCTTTTATATTAAGTTTAACAAATACTCCATTTAGGAATTAAAATATAATTTGTTGTGCCACTTTATAATTTTTTTTACAACATTATTCATTTAACAATTGATATTACATTTCTTAATAATTATCTTTCTTTAGTTAATTGTATTAATTTTGAAGTAGAAATAGGGTAGGAGGTCGCTGCGAGAAATGGCCTCGGCGGCCTCCTACGCGGCCGGCCGGTTCGGCGGTTGGGCGATTTTTTTTTTTTTTTTTTAAATGTCGAAAAAGTTTCTTAATTTTAGTTTTTTATGTATTTAGATGGTTTAAACAATCTTTTGAACAATTTTATAACCATTTTTGTAAATAGTTTCTAAGAAATAACTATAAAAACCTTATGTTTTAGTACTAAATTTTGAAAATTTTCAATTTTTAATTTTTTTAATTAAAAAAAATAAAAAATCAGCGCCTAGGGGGCACCTAACGTTTTTTGCAACATTATATATATATATATATAAACGTAAATGTGTAGTTCAACAGTTGAAATAGGATACATGCTTTAATTTAGTATCAACCACATACTAAAAGTCATGGGTTAAAATCCTTTTGTAATTCCAACTCACTTTCAAAAGTGAATTCATATTTCACATTACATTAAAAAATTATTATCATGACATTGTATTTTTGCTCCACTTTTCAAGGATTGCAGTTCTTGCATATATTGAAAATTGACCCAACTGTTGAAGGTTAGTGTTGATTACTTTTCATACTTTGGTTTGCATAAAAGAGTTTTGTGTACATAGTTTGGTTTGCACATTTCATTTGTGCTGCCGAGAGAAACCTATAGATTATAGCTAGTTTTTGGCTTAAATTCAATAGTACCTACACACTCTTTAAGATGTGAATGAGTAAGAACCCTTAAACTAACCACCCACCCACTACAGTGTACAGGATAGAGTTGATTTTCAAGAGTAGAAAATAACAATTCAACCTTGAGGCAACATATTTGTCCAATGATCCATTGGGGTGGGGTAATATAATACAGTACTACTTATGCAAGAGAATACAAGTAAATGCAGTTCATTTCAACACTTGGTATGCTCACAAAACATAATGACAAGGGCATGTACATGCACAACTCGGGATGATTTCATAGAAATCAAGAGTATGCAGTCAGAAAGAATTAATACAACCAACCGCCGCATTATCAATCAATTGAAAATAAAGCTAGCTCTCCAACTACTATGCATTCAACAGAAATATAAAAATGAAATAACATACCGAGTGGTTTAAAAACAAATCAACAGACAAATAATAATGTGAAGGGAAATTCACAAATGTGGTTAGTCTTAACTCAAACAACACATTATATTTGATAGTCTACAGGTTCCACTCTGCTAAGAAAATTCAAGACTAAAGCAAGATGTTGTTTTGCACCCTTTTTGGAACCACATAGAGGAAAGGGGCACACAGATGAAAGTTGCAAATCAATTTTTTATGTAATTTAGTTCTAGAACGCTTGACAAAGCTACTTGCAAGTCTAGTATATGATGTCTATTTGCTCCTCTTCAAGGATAAAGCCAAGCCCCACATCCTTTCCACTACACAAAATAGAAATTGTATGCCAATAGCTTACCACAGCTGTGTTAGTGCTTTTCAATATCCAATCCTCTGGACAGGCACACCATGGCTCAAAAGATAAATGTAAGTACAGTCCAAGGTCACAAGAGAACAGACACTGGGCAATAGAGCAAACAGATGATCAAGATAGCATGAAAGAAAAAAGCACATAAAATTTCAACATGGTTTGGGCACTGAGACCTGTTCCACAAGCAATGGTAGAACCAGATTTGTCCTAGGTGAGTATAGATGATGGTAACTCCACCTCAAAATACAACCCCAAGAACACACAAGCTCAAATCCAAACAAAGAATGGCTCAACATACGTTAAACTTCTTAAACTCTATTCAGGGCATTGTAAACAATATCTTCTAAAATGCGCATTAAGCATATCTTTAACAGGGTTTAATACAAAAGAAATAAACCACTTGGGCACTTGGTGTACTAAGCCATTTCTCAAGATACAACTACCTAAATGTCTGGACTCAGGACATACTATGAAATTAAAGGGAAATGGTACTATTACCACAGAATCAAGATGCAACAGTCCAAAACTCCATGATACTGCAAACACGATAAAATATAAGTTGTAGCAGTTACAAAGGTTCCATCATACAAAAAACACAGCAGGGAAGAAAAATGCAGACCTCCTTTTTCTATTATTAGCAAGATGTTTAAGAGGAAAACTAACACAGATTACCTAGAGACTAGTGACAGGTAATTCAAAATAACATTAGGTTAAACAATTCCTCAAGAGGAAAACAAGAACACACATAAGATCTCATATATTTAGTAACAAGAAGATTGGAGAAGTTGTTGTCTGGAATCAAGCCTTATCCAAGATATAAAGAGAATCTAAATGACATTCAAAAATCAAATATAAGTAATACGTTTAGATAAAATGCTGAGTTAAAACACAGCAAGAAAACATAAAGACCTCCTTTTTGTTCACAATAAGTTTGATAGGTAACTAATACAGATCACCTAGTGACAGGTAATTTCAAAATAAAATCAGGTTAAATTCCTTAAGAAGGCACTTGGTTAGCAGGTAAAAACACATAAGATCTCATACACTTAGTAGCAAGGAGGTCAGATGGTCAAGTTGTTATCTTGATATGAAGTCTTATCCATATATATAGATTATAGACTTCAAATTGTAATGTTGCAGTTCTCTAACTGCAGAGATTTGTCAGACACTGAGTTTGATTATGAAAATGAAAATAAAACTCATAAAAGTACACAATTTACAGATGGCAAGCTACAGGAGATGAAAAAATAGGAGTTGGGGGTAGGGATGGGGGAGGAGAACATTCAAAAACTAGCCTGATCATCCATCATAAAATAGTGGTTAACAAAGAGTGCATCGGCAACAGATAGCTTTTAGAAAAATACTTAACAGTAAAACCATAAAGGTGGTGATCCTGATTAAGCCTGTGTGCCAGTCAAGGCCTTCATCTGAATATGGTTTGAATCCACAGGGCTTGCAGATGTGGGTAAGGCCTCGTAAGAGCCAAATCGCCGGCCTAGGGCCCTGGCAAGAAGTGCATAAGTGACCATTAAAATGAGAAGCACAAAGAAGACGTGGACAACAAAGACCAAATCAAGGAGGGCAGCGGCCCTTAGCTTGGAATCCTCCAAATCACACTTGGTGGAGCCCTCAACACCACTGACAACATCCAATAGCTTGTGGCAGCCCTCGGGGATGAATGCATCAACATAGAGGGAGAGACCAGTTTGAAGGAGCCAGAGGCCCTGAAGGCAAAGTGAGGCAGCAAAGAGAAGTTCAGCTACAAAGAGTCTGGGATTGCAAGCAAGGACGAGGGAGATGAAGGAGGAGATGGCAGAGATGCGGGCGGAGACAGAGTCACACTTGGCTTGCAGATCAGAGGTCTGGAAAGAGGCAGAGGAAGATGAGGCAGAGAAGCATAGAAAGAAGAGGGCAGAGGCGATGAGAAAGAAGATGTCAGGGGGTAGGGGGAGGAGGGAGGTGGAGTCAGAAAGGAGGAGGGAGACAGAGAGGAGGAGAAAGCAGAGGAGAAGGGCAGAGAGCTGGAGGGAGGAGAACATATGGACAGGGGTGCGACCCTTGAGGAGGGGATCTGAGTCGAAAGAGATGAAGGCTTGGTGGGCAGAGGCAATAAGAAGGGAGAGGATGATGAGGTAGAGAGGAAGGTAGCGGAGGCGGGGGGATGAGGAGGGAAAGAGGGAAAGATGATAGAAGGGTTTGGCAGAGTATTCACGAGGGGATTTAAGGTGGCTGCAGGTGGCAGAGATGAGATGGTAGAGACCCAGAGAGAAGAGAGCCGATGAGGAGAATACATGGTAAATGAAGCTCCCCATTTCTTCACCTTCCTTCCTTCCACTTAATCTTAGTATCACTTAAAGAAATGCCTGCCACCAAATAGCATTATTAGGACAAACCAATCTCTGATCTATTGATATTTGATTGTGTATTATTCCCAATTAAACAATTGCAGGCACAAATAAAGTATATTAGTGAAAGTGTTGCGTATACATACATACATATATAAACACACGAGTATATGTTAGGCAAATCAGCGATGGATCGCAGTAAATCGATGAACAAGAAAGTTTACCCTTAGTCGCCGTAAAACGCGGAGACGAGGAAACGCCCGCTTCGTAGTCTTGTACTACGGTGTAAGAGTCCCAAACCGGAAATCCCAATTTGAACTTTCTTCCATAACTCTATTTTGAAAGTACGCAATAGTGTGGTGGGAGGCGGAGATGGAGGGAAGGTGACTAACTGGGGTTTGGGTTTAGGTTTAGGTTTAGGGTTGAGTTTGGGGAAGAAGATAGGAGTTTTTTTTTTTTTTTTTTTTAATATTTTGGTAGTCGATTGATTGATGAGAGGTGTTGCGCTTGTCTGATATGGAGAAATCTGGAAAATTGACAATTGCTACAGCGGATCACTGCTTCTGCCCTGCCGTCGTCCAATTGCTGCTGCTAGAAACTGGAAACTGATAATAAGCTCTGCCAATTTGGGTTATTTTTCCCTTCTCTTTTCTTTTGTTTGTTATTAGTTTATTTGACGAATAATAATTAAAGTCAATGAATAAATTTCACGTCTGCTCCTGCTCTAATTATAATATTATAACTCTTGTCCCAAAAATTTAAATCTCAAATCAATAAAGTATTTGGAAGGATCTAAATCAAAGATAATTCAGATAGGGCCAAATATTAGTACACACAATAGTTCCGTACATTTTGAGCTCATACTGCTATTATCAAATTTCAAACATTGATCTCTTGCTTGGGTTTGATGAATATCCCAGATCAGGTACCCAATCAGGATAACACATCGGTAGTCAAGGTTCACAATTTGATTATGTTCTTAGAGGATCGGCGGACTTCATTAACTTAGCCTCGATCCACACGCGTGGTCCACTTGGCTGGCCCAACTGGGCGACCAGTGCATGCAACCAACTGGGGTTCCTGACTGTGTGCTATACTCAGAGGCGGTTAGAGAAGATCTAACGGAGATTTTTTTAAAATTTGACACGTAATTTCCTTTTTTAATATTAGGAAGGAAGTGTAGCTATCTCTGTTTGAGAAACCAACAAAAAAAAAAGAGAAGAAGTCACAACGTGTTATGGAAAAATAAGCATTGACAATTTAATTCATGAACACTGGTGTTACAAGGTCCTTTTCTATGAAACAAATACAATTGTCATTTTCATTTCAAGGACAGGCAAAAATTTGGGCAATACAGTGAGCGTTGTAAAATAATGATCATCATCTCGGCATTGCATTGCATTTCAAGGAAGAAGAGAAACTATGGTATTTCACGAGGGAGCTGGAAAACTTATTTGGCCTGCCGGCCTTTCATCATTGTGGCTGAGGGTCCATTACCACTCCGGTCCGGCAGACATCTCAACCATACCTTAACCCTTCTTACCTTCTAATCACATCATAATACACCTGCCAGTCTGCACAACTTTTGGTTCACTTCTGAATATGATGAACCCCAGTGGACTGGCGCACATATATGAATTGGATGATTCAGTGATTGAGCCTCGCCGAGCCTCTCAGCATTGTATTGTATTCTAGTTCTAGTTCTAGAGTAATAGCAAGGTCAGATCTAGGTTCTCACACTTGAAGATCCAACCCATGGCCCATGGGGCTATACCAATACCAGCAGAGCAGCATTATGTGCGAGATGGTGCATTCATAAACACCTGCTGCCAAACCTAATACTTTATCAAGGCTGGTAATGAAGCATACAATTCAGCTAGGCATTGAAACACCCAATTAAGCAACTGCTCTCTTGGTAGCTCCAAAAGCAGTTCAGCCTGAAAATGTCAAATGCTAAAATAGTAAGTGATTGATTGCCTGATTACTCATTCACATGGAGACACTCCACTCAACACTCAAACTTACAATAGGTAGGGTAGGGTAGGTATAGTTTATTTCTGCTCTTTTAAAGAAGAAACTAAAACATGAACTATCCATGTTGACGTAACTTACTACAACAAAGCACAATAATACCTTTATTTCACCATCCTCAAAAGTGAGAGAATTCCGATGAACGTCTGATGCTACTGACTCTGTTATCAGCTTGAAAACATTCTTCGTCATGTTTGTTTTCATGCCAACTATCTTTCCTAAACCATATATTCTGGTAATTCCCAAATCTGCTGCCATTCTCCTCACATAAAGCTTCTTCAACAGGATTTCCATGGAGTAAGGTTCTTTCCCATACTGCCGCCTTAGATTCTCAGTAAACTGCATCAAGTTCCACATGTCTTTTTCAGCTGCTTTCTCAGCTTCACTAATTATTTCCATGGGGTTCTCTAAATGATTTATGTAGTCAGAAGGAAGATGCAGGTTTACATCAATATCAAGCTGATACACAAAACAGAAACAAACAATAGATTTAGGAACCTACTTAAGTTGCAAACGTGTTCTAAGAATAGTTTAAACTTCATTTATTGGTGATCTGCAATGTGATCTTTGCATGACTTGCAGGAACAGGAGCACTAAAAATCTTTCAGAGGCCTAAGCATTATTTTTCAATAAAGATGACAAGCAAGGTAAAGAGTCTTGAGACTTTTATCCTCATTTTAGCTTCTGATGTACAAAAAGAAAAATATATATATATATATATGTTTTTATTTTTCTAATGGAAACAATAAAAGGGAGCACTTTCAAAACTCAAAGGTTGCAAAGTATAGAAAAGACATTTAATTTCAAAGAGTTATAGCCCAACCTCAAACACCTACACAGACACCCTTCTCTCTTTGTTCTCTTATGTGCCAAAATTGGAATATGTAACTGATAGGCTTGGCCTTCCATCTCAATAAATAATATTGCACCTTTGAGAAAGGTTCTTGAAATATTTCTGTGTAGGTTCACAAACTTTCATATACCATGCACCAATTTTTTTTTATAAGCTTCATCGTGAACTCACCCTACTAAAACAGGGCTTGGATGTTGAACTATATAAGTAATCACTAAAGGTATCTTTTTAGAGATCTGGTGTGAAGACTGCTAGAAAGTTTATTCATGGTATCTTTAACAAAGCACATTGAATACCTTTACTGAATGGTACGGAACTGAAATTACACGATGTTCATCAACCTGGAAAGAAAAAAGAAAACATACTTACATTATAGGTTTAATGGCTCTGACCATTATCGAAATTTCACATACAAGTACTAGTCAAACAAGAAAGAAAATCAATCACTGGGCAAAAGCAAGCTCTAATAAATGGTCCATAGAAGTGAAAGAGACCTTGGACAAGCTTTCAAATAGCATTTCAAAGAAGAGATCAATGCCCACATTCCCAACATCACCTGTCTGTTGCTCACCAAAAATATTACCAAAACCTCTTATAGCCATGTCTCTTTCAGCAAGTTGAAAACCTTGGCCAAGATGACAACACTCTTCAAGAGCAACAAGCCTCTCCTGAATTGCCAAGAAATCAATCTACTTTACATGCGCGTACATGAGAGTGTATGTGTGTGTGTGCCAATAAATCATAAATGTATATAAAATCTGAAAGTAAAGGCAGAAAATTAGATTTTGGAACATGAAAGCAACAATGTTCTCAATATCTATCATTCATACTATGAAATCAATGAAGTAGTGGGCATAAAGAACAGCACCACAAAATCCACAACAAAAAAAGGAAACTGGATAGTAATATGTCAAGTAAATAGCATATAATGATACCCTGTGTTTTTTATCATTGACTAGGGTGAGTAAAACGAAGGAGAAACATACAAGTGCTTGCTGAGATAGTAGTGACTTATCAGGGTAAAATAAGTATGCATGAGCTTCCTTGTCTGCCCGGCCCACCCTTCCACGCAGCTAAAAGAAAGGCCCAAATTAGATTGAAGAATGGACAACATACCATGATTATTAACATCACTTCTCATACTATAAATACATTACAACTGAGAGAAACAAAGCAACTATAAAATGGAATCTTCAACACACTCATTGCCATTGTGCCATGCTCGTATGGTGGTCAGTTTGGCTTGAAATTAATCACTCCAAAAGGATGCAATACCACACTTTGTAAATTTAACTATTAGTCTGTAAATTGTATACTTCAAGTAGACCTGATATAGTTGCGCAAGACCGAATTGTTGAACATCTTGAACTATGATTGTGTTAGCATTTTGAATGTCAAGCCCACTTTCTACTATATTTGTGCATATTAGAATCTTTATATCTCCTTGTGCAAATCTTTCCATGGTTTCCTCAAGCTGCTTGGAATATTGCTGCCACAGAGATCAACTTAAAGGTGAAAATAACATACTTAAGCATACACTGAAAGAGTCTGTGCGCACACCTATCTATATGTATATGGCACAATATGAACTCCATCATGAACCATTTAGAAACAGAGCTAGTGCAGAGATGCTAAGCAACAAATTAACTAGTGTTCATGAGTCCATCATGACTATATTTGAGAGCCACACAACAGTAGGCCATAAGAAGTTGGCTCTTACTAATTTCAGCCACACCCTATAAAAGCAAATATTTGAAGTTGACACAGAAGAAATTATTTATCACAGTTCAGATTAGGTATGAACAGAGAGGTGCTGAAAGTCTGAAACTACTACAAAACCAGAGTTTTAATGACTGAAACAATGGAAAATTAACCAAGCCCCAAAAGTCAAGCCAAGCATAATATAATACAAATATAACCATGTGAAATGTTATTATAATCACAAAAAGCAACACTCTATTAAATAAGAAGTATGAACAGCTAATTACACCTTCAGCGCCTTAGTGCATTAAAGTTGGATTTAAGCAACAAGAAATGTTTAAATTAAAATGGAACATAAAAAAACAATCTAAAGATATGTTTTATAACTGTTCAACTTTAAAGAATCCCACTAGAAACCTATACCTTCTTTTTGAGCATAGCCCCTATACAGACCACCACTTCATACAGCACCCATTTTTGCATGGAACAACAAAGATTTGATTAATAAAAATTGACAAGCTAGAGGAAATTAAATTACTGCTACTATGGCACAACTAATAATGGCCATCTTCACATAAATAAGACTTTATAACCTAATAAGCACCCATGTCAAAAAGGGACCAACATGGAATTGATTCATTAACCTGCCAAAGAAATTATTTGCTACATCAAATGTTTTAACAACAGCAATCATCTAGAGAGAAGTGTGATTTAATGCACTCATGAAAAAACTAGAAATATTTCTTAGAATAGGTGTTGAGGATAAATGTAACATAATAAATGTGCATCCTCAATAACAACTTAACCCTTTAATTGAGGTGGAAACATATACCACATTAAAATAAAAATAAATAAATAAAAACAGAGGTTTAATTTTCAGGTTTTCTACATGAATTGACAGGAGAAACCAGTAGAAGGTTCACCTTTCCATGAGCAATAGCTATTTCAACATGTGAGAATACTTCTTCAAGAAATTCCATAACATCCTCAAGCCCTGTCAACAAAATAGCAGCCAAGTATTCACAATGAATATAGTTGTCAAACTTTACCAAACCAGGAAATGACTCAACAGCATGCAAATCAAATTGTACTATATAGACTACAAGAAAGAAAAGGTAGATAGTTCTCTTCACATTACCCTTAATCCAGGGCAAAACATAAAATACTTGGCCACCACGGTCGAGTTCAAACTTGATTGCTGATATTACTTTTTCTTTCATGTAAGCCAAAAGATGAGTTTTGATTGGGACTCTCTCAGGAGGTGGTGTTGAAATCAAACTGTAAAGATTGGATTAGGGTGGGAGCAAAAGTAGAGAAAGGAAAATTATTTACTTGAATGTATATTAGTTCACATGGACATCATCACTTAACAAAAGAGTAACCAATTTCAACAGATAGATTACCCAGCTGTAAAGCAAAGAACTAATCCTGTATGCGCCCATATTCCAAAAGATCCCACGGCTGAATCAAGCAGTTTAAATTGCATGCTAAACTGATGTAAAAATTAAAAAGCAGCTAAGTAGAAAAGAATTAAATTTTCACCATTTTCTGAGCTATTACCTAGCATCACGAAAGCCAGTTAGCGCTAAATAAAGTGTTCGCGGAATAGGAGTTGCTGAAAGTGTGAGGACATCAACTGAAGTTTTAAATGAAGCAATCTTCTCCTTTTGTTTAACACCAAACCTCTGAAAAGCAAGAAGTCACGGCATTCATACATAAGACATCTTTTAAATGTGGTAGTCCCTCGAACAATGCTTAACATTGAACATGGTTAGAAAACCAGAACCCCCTATTCCTCCACCGTCCCACCAGGGAGGCTTAGTGCATGTTTTTTGGTACCCTCAATTAGGTTAACATTGTTTGTGACTAAACTAAGCATAATAGCTTGTAATTTTTCTGATTTCTTCATTACTTAACATAGCATTTTGAATCTTGTAGCAAAGACACTTCATTTATCATGTGATTCCCATGCTAAAAATTGACATCACATATCATGCCTACTTGCTTAACATTGATAGGAAATATAGGGGACATTGAAGATGATTTCACTTGTATTGTAATGTTGATTTAACAAGATGATTTAAATAATATGATTAGAAACGATTTAAAGTTTAATGTACTTCCAATTTATCTTGGCACGCCTTTTGACAATTTAGTTGCTATTTCCTTCATGCTATCATTGACTTTGCAAGTTGCTTAAACTTTGATTTTTTTTTTTAGTGCCTTCCAAATTTCAATGCTTAAGCTCTATCAAAGGATTCAAAGCATTATGATATCATCTTACCTTTTGCTAAAACTGTCAGCCTCAATAACTGTTGAGCAATACTAAATAAGTAAACACTTCACAAAATTGCATATGGGATAAAGGGCAAACCTGTTCCTCATCAACCACAAGAAGGCCTAGCTTATTGTACTCAACTCGATTGCCAAGTAGTGCATGAGTCCCTACAATAATGTCCAGATGCCCATGTTTAATCATGTGCAAGTACTCCTCCTTCTCTGATTTAGTCTTCAATGTACAATGAATTAGTCACAAGAAAAGCCAAAGTTAGAACACAGCTAGAACACATCTAGAGGGATATAGACATATAGTAATATATAGTGGCATAGAAAGAGTTATGGAGCAAACATTGGATCTTCATTTCAAGAAACATCATGTCTTTATTTTTTCAGAGGCAAAAAAAATACATCACCGTTTGAATTATGAGAAAAAATTCCCATTGAAAGGCACCAAAAGATAGAAAAGACACAACTAGTGCACCTATTAACAAGGATAGTACTTCAACACTCCGCATTATCTACGCTTTATTCCCAAACTAGTTGGGCAGGCAACTACATGATTTCTCTTTCTGAACTCAATTCCAACACTAACTTTCTGACAATCCCTTGGTCTAGCATACATTTTATTAAACCAACTTCAACTAGGAAGAGAAATTTTTGTGGAATGAGGGAAAAAAAAAAACATTTTTTTCTGCATAAACCATTTAGTGTAACTAGAGAGAGCTGCTAGGCACCTGAAATCTGCTTAAAAGTCCAACTGTGATATGAGGATATCTTGAGAACCTGTCTGAGATTACATCAAAGTGCTGTTTGGCTAAAACTATAGTTGGTGCTAGAACCATAACTTGCTTGGCTGCTGAGACTACACAAAAGATAGCACGCAATGCAACTTCAGTTTTACCAAAACCAACATCGCCACAAATTAATCTGTCCATTGGATTTTCTCTCTCTGTCAAGTCCCTTTCAACATCTAAGAAAGCCTGTCATGAGAATAGAAACTCTAACCCATTTTAGTTAGAAAAGAGAACCACAATAAATTATACTCTTTTAGTACATAGCCACATTGAATATCTAGGTGAGACAACATAAAGGTTCTTTCCATAGACTAAAGAATTTGATAGAGGATCAACATGAAGGCACCTGATCTACTACATGCCACATGACAACCCAAATGGTTTGAAATGCTTATAACTCATCCCAAAACTTTAAGAATAGAAAATACGTGCACACACAGAGAACTAAACCTGTTTCTGATCTGGTGTGGGCTCATAAGGAAATTGAGATGCAAATTCAGCCAGAGCAGCAGTCTTTGGATAAAGAGGTCTTTTTTGTTTTAGCCTATGTAAATATAACTCCATCAAATCCACAACCATTTTCTGGACTGCAATTTTTCCCTTCAACCTTCTCCTCTCCCATGCACTGGGATCACTTAATTTGCTTAAAGCCTGAGGCCTTTTGCTTTCATTTGGGCTGAAGTGAAAATGAAAGGAAAGGAAAGAAAAGCAGAGACGTGCATGGGATCAGAGAGAGCGTTTAAATTTTGAGTGTTAAAGAGAAAGTGTGTATGATCAAAATAATATTGAGCATGCATAAAGCTACAAAGTGGGTGGGTGCAAGGTGTTGAGAAAGGAAAGTGGCATGATATGATGTTGAAGCGTTTTAAGGTAGTAGCACTACTTACAGATTGTAGCGATAGAGCAATCGAGATGCCTGTTTAACAGGTAACTTAGCCATTCCATCGGAGTACTCGATAAAAACATACTCAATCGGGATAGAAGAATCCTTAGAGACATCAAATTTAATGCCAACAAAACGTCCGACGCCGACCTTCTTGTGGACGACGTAATCGCCGGAGCGGAGAGTGTAAGGGTCGACCTTATAACTAAAAACTTGATCCTTAGTTGAGGGCGCGGCATTGTCAACGGGGGCTCTAGCTCTGCCGGCCTTGAGCTTCTGAAGGCCCCTTTGCTGCTGCTCCTTGACAAGCTGAATATACTTATCAGCCTCATCCGCGTCCATGACGGGCCTAGTGATCGATAATTGGTCCCTCTTGGCAAGGTCGCGGCGGATTCTGTGGTTTAGGAGAGAAATGGCGTCAAGCTCCGCATCAGCCTCCTGCGGCCGAGTGCGACTCCGCGTGGATTTGGTATACACTAGGTCGGCATTTAAGGCCTGGGAGACAGAAAACCGGAAATTAAGAGGAAGAATGGTGAAGAAGAAGAGGCGGCGGCGAGTGCGGTCGAGTTTACGAAGACGGCGAGGAGTGGAATGAATAGGAGAGGCGTCGTGGGAGAAAATGGAGAGTTTTGCGGCGGCCATTAGCATTAGCTATAGCTAGCTACAGTAACTGATGCTGCTCTGCTGTGCAACTGTAAATACACAAACATTCATTCATTCCTCACTCGTCTCTTGTTGGAGAAGAGAAGAAGATGAGAGAGAGAGGGCTCCTCCTAAATCCCCCTGTGGGGTTTTCGTGTTTTTGAAACAAACTGGTTAGAAAAACAAACGCAAGGCTGCGGCAGGCGTTATCTGCTTCAAAATTTTTTAAGCCGTCTGTCTATTTTCCAATTTCCAGTCCAGGCCAAAATATCTTCTACTCCTTGTAGGAATATCAAAGTAGACTTGTCCGCACCGACTTAGCTTAATGATTCGGTAGAAATATTTAGAGGAAAAGACAAGGTTCAAACTTTAACAGCAGCAATGTAGGAATAATGTTGTGCTTGGGGATTCAACTTTTTGAGAAAAGTCCTATAACATATCTATCTATCTACCTATATATATATAATAGGAATAAAGGTCAAATAGGCCACTCAATTGTACATTGTCTTTAGTTATATTGTCTTTATTTTTCTCCAATGTAAAAAATATTCTTTACATTCAAATTCATCAATTGATTATATTCACTACATTGTCTATTACTCCATATCTTTTTTGTGCACTATTTTTTAATTAAATATTAAAGTTATAATGCTATATATATTTATTTACCAAGTATTTTATTAATACCATGAAAATTTACAAAAATATAATTAACTCAATCATATTAACTACTTTAGGGATTTGTTGACAAAGAGGGTATTCAAATCACACAACAAATTGAAGTGGGAAACTACCTCACAATGTCCTTGTTTGACAATCAGCAGTTAGCGGTCAGCATTAGCAGATTTGACCAGCGAATTATATCAACGGTTGGTAAAAAGGTATTTGAAAAAATTAACTGTTTAGATTAAAATGTAAAATGACATAAGGTATACATATATTTCATAATTACTACTTGATAAGTGCCAAAGATACCACCTTTTAGGGGTTATGTTGTGCTTAATTGAAGTACTTTGTGAATAATTTATGGTGTAAATGCTATGAATTGTGTTAATGTGTTACAAATGCTCATAAACATGTACACTTTAGTGTTTTGAGCTAAAAGGAAGGCATATGGCTTGAACCGGAGCGAACCGAGGAAGAATGCAATGGAGAAAAGCACCAAGCACCCATCCACGTTCGTGGACCGTTGTGGATCGGAAACAGAAAGTCCCACGAAGCAGATCCACGAACGTGGATGAGAAAAGGCGAGAAACAGGGCGTGTACGTAGCCATGTACGTGCGTATGCGTGTCAGGGCAGATTTAAGCATATTTAAAGGCTTGGCGGGATTAATTCTCCTATCATCTCTCATTGTATCTTTTATCATTTTTTTTTGTGTATTTTCAGAGCTTTGTAGATTAGGAAATTCTCTCTCTAGATTAAGTCATCTTCTAGATCAAGCTATCTTCTCAATTTCTCCATTCAAGCAAGAGGATCTTCAAGGACTTAAGGAAGAATTTACAACTCTACCTCCATGTATTGATTATTCTCTCGTAATCTAGTGGATTGTAGCAATCTAGCTTGGTATCTCCTGCACTTTTCATCTTCAATTCCATCTTATAATTGTATTACATTGCTTGATTGTGTTTATATTGCAATCTAGACAATGATGCTTGGCTAGTCTTCTAGGAATCGGATTGGATTGACTTGTAATTATGCATTCATGATTTGTATTGATTAATTTATGAAGATGTGATGTAATGCTTGACCTAGAATGCTTATGTTGTGTATGTGTGTATTGATTCTCTCTTCATAGAGGGCCCCTATAAGAGAGGAGTATGAGAGTGTGGAAGTATCAAGAGATTGTGCTTTCATTAGTCATACTCATTGCAATTCCCGGCCTTTGATCCGAGAGGGCAAGGCCCGGGAGGAGAAGGTAGACCACCAAGTGTTTGATAGAATGTCTCTGCCGCCTTAGGATGTGAGAGTCTAAGTCATACGTGACTTAGTGTTGGGGCCAAACATGGTATATGGGCCACCCGAGAGCACTACATTTCTGTCTTCTTCCTTTTTGAACCAGAACATGACATGTCCATTGAGGAGACTCTCCGGCTTGCAATTCTCTCCCCAGGATTCGACCAATCCTTCAATAGCACGCATACCCGTAAACCTTCTTGTGAACCGGCCAACAAGGTCGTAAGCTCTTTCTTCCTCAAAAACCAAAATCTCATCAGCTTCAAGATCAACAACCCCCCTGTTTCTTCGGGTCCCCCCGCCCCTTTTTTTTTTCCAAAAAAAAAACAAAAAAAAAAAACAACCCCCTTGTTTGTTTCAATGTCCAGAAGCTTACTGTAACACCCCACTTTTCTATCTCTTAATCACAACTCTAAACAATCATTAACATAAACTAAGCAGCAGAAATAATAACTAAAAAGATAACTAGTGGGGGTGTCACCGCCACAACCACCACTCTGTTGTGATTGCACAGGCTAAGGGGTGGAACTAGAAATAAAATAAATATCTAACTCCCAAAATAAATATTGAAAAACATAAGGGGGAAAAAGTCACCCCAAAAGTCTACATCATCAAAATTCACAAATCAACGTAAGTCTAGAATTTGGAAACAAAGTCATAAACGTAACTAGAGTTTAGACATCTCAAACTACGAGACTAATCTAACTCGATCTCTTCTAACTGCTGGGCCCACCTGAAAGGGGTTTTGCAAGCAACACATAGACAAATAGGAAAACACCCGTTAGCACGAAGCTAAGTATAACCACACTCAACCCTGTAAAGCATTATAGCATATACTTTGAAAACATTTGATTTCTCTTGTAAACAACAAACTCATCTCAAATCATCTTTAGATCTATCACATACTTTCTAGATGCTTGCAACCTATAATATCAACTGGCATGCTTATATATAAGATTGAACACTTAAATACTTCAACATATAAACTTCTCCATTAACATAACAAGCAACTCTTGCTTACAGGTAGGATCACGCTAATAAACCATATACAGGTATTCTCATACTCTCGCATTCTCATCACACAAACTTGATATACAAGGCTTCAAATATAACAAAACAATCATGCTCGATGAACAATCTTAAATCAACATTCTCATTATGTAATCTCATGCGATACTCTACTCAAATGCAATCTCGTGCAATACTATACATCTACTCATATGCAATCTTGTGCAATACTATACTCATACTCATATGCAGTCTCGTGCAATACTATACTCATACTCATATGCAGTCTCGTACAATACTATAATCATACTCATATGCAATCTCGTGCAATACTATAATCACTCATATGCAATCTCGTGCAATACTATAATCATACTCATATGCAATCTCGTGCAATACTATAATCATACTCATATGCAATTTCATGCAATACTATAATCATACTCATATGCAATCTCGTGCAATACTATAATCATACTCATATGCAATCTCGTGTAATACTATAAACATATGCAATCATGTGCAGTTCTATATTCATATGCAATCTCGTGCAATACTATATATATACTCATACACTCTTTATAAAAATAGAGTACTTTATGTGGATGTCTCTTTCTTATTTTCTTTCTTATTTTCTTTCTTACTTTTGAGTCTCTCTTGACTCGCTTTCTTTCTCTTGAGTCTCTCTTGACTCTCTTTCTTTCTTTTACTCGTAGACGGCTTAGGGTTTCACCGAAGCGTGAATTATCCCATCGGGAGCGGCATAAATCCGACCCAATATCTCCCACCGTCTACGGAACCAATCTCGTGGTTCTCTCTCTGTGGAATCAGGTATCGAACTATTAGTGTGCACATCCCCTAACCAGGATTCCAAGCCTGGCGGGAAGTTTCCAACCTTGTAATGTGGGAATACGCTGCGTTACATATACTGGGACCGCAATGTTCATAAATATCTCCCGAGAGGACATAGTCCAAACGGTATCCTCCAAAACCTCACCAATTTAGATAATACATAGGTATATCTCCCATGCATCAATCTCATGCATGCAACAACTCTACTACTTCTCAATGCATCAAAGAATGATATATCACATGATTATGGTTTTTGAAAGTAATACTTGGGCTCACGTTGGCCCTTTATGCACTTTTGAAATATGACATATGTGGGATGTCAAAATACTCAATAACATGCTTCTAAACCATGTATAAAATAATATAAAGTACTCAAGAATACAATATCATGCTCGGTTTGCACATAGCAAATTCTACACATTCTAGCAACAAAATATGCTACATTTCTCATTGATAAAGTATCACAATCTAGTCATGCTTTCATAATAAATCATATTCTCAAAGGATCATGCTTGCATAATAAATCATACTCTCTAAGGATCATGCTTCTCTACTCAATAAAATAACATCAGATTGCAAAGTCAATTATTTCTCATACACAGTGAACTAACAAATATATGAACTGTGTAGAAATTCTTCAATAAATCATTCATATCTTACTCATTTTTTATCCAAATTCAACGAAATCAAAGCCAAAACGTGTGTCGAGACGATCCCGAAGAGCCGAGCCACAAGGGCCCGTAACACTCGACCCGGAACGACACGTAGCTGAGCCACAAGGGCCCGACCATTGCACAAATTCTCCTCAGAATCAAACTCAGGGACCTGGGGCGGGACTCCTCAAGAGCCGCCCCATGGGCCCCGTTACTCCATCGGGTCTAGGCGGCGGCCCTCCTCTAGGGTCGTGCCCTAGACCCGTGTAACCACGGCTCTAGCCGGCGGCCCTCCTGATGGGCCGCGGCTAGGGCCGCTGGTCTAATCTGGTGCACTCTGTGTGTGCACCAAATGACATTTTCATCTGCAAATCTCAATCCAAACAAGTCCAAAACATTCTTAACAACTCAAAGACAAATACTAGATCACTTTCAAGCATAAACACAACAAAATCTCATAATTTCTATTCATTTATACTCAATATCAAGGCTTCACAGAGCCAAAGTTAAAGAAGGAATTCATGGGGTTATACCTCCTGTAGTTTCTTCTTCTAGCTTGGATCTCTTCTTCCTCCCAACCTAGCTAGTGCCTCCTTCACCACCTAACCTTCCCAAACAACCATACAATCTTAGCCTAGAACCTCAGAGGATGGATGAAACTAGAAGAGAAAATGAAGCTAGGATTGAAAGAAGAAGATGATGAGCTTACTGTGTTGTTTTCTCCCTTCTACTTGGCAGACAATTGTTTAGAGAGGCAAAGAAAGAGATCAGGAAACCAACAATGAAATAGTGAAGTTTATATAGGGTCCAAA